GTTTTGTTCAAATAAGTTCGTTTGTTTGTTATGGTTGAGAAGAAATCAATCGTAACTTCTGAGGTGATCCCAATGATATCAAAAATCACAGAACACAAGTTGAATGAAGCACAAATAGATTATTTGTCTAACAAGTTGGGCATGATTAACATATATGCACCAACTTAAGGGGGAGTGTTAGAGTATATATTAGTATATTTTATATTCTTGTATTAATATTAATTTGTCATTTACCTTCTCCTTACAGGATTAGGTCAACCTTGTATATTTGTCTATATATATAGACTTTAATAATGAGAATACAGAATATTGGATTATCTTCAACCTTAGTCTCTACAACTTATAAGCCAGCTTCTATTTAATAGCGGCACCTGTCCTATTTCATGCATGACCTGGAAGTTCATTAGAAATTCATGTTTCCCTTCTCCTTGACAAAGGAGCTAAAAGAGTTAATTTCAAAGAAATTACTTTCATTTTGAATGCTGATGTCACACACTCTGACACGCACCAAGAGAAAAAGATAGAAAAGGGACAAGATATTACAAAAAAATACAGTTGGCAGAGAAGACTTGCCTAGAATTTATAATCTCAGCCAAAAGCCCCATCGTGATACCAAAAAACAGTGGATGACTACGAAGTTTTCTCTGCAGACCCTTCTCAATATCATTATCGAATGCGTCATTTACTGGTGTTGTAGCTACATCAGTCACAAAAAAAAACATCATAAGCTACATCAGACAATCAGGGTACGATACAAAGATTTATACATCTTGGCAGAAAAACTCACCATCTGTTCTTGAAATATGACTAACTGTTTCTAACAACTCTAAACCATCAACTGTAACACCCCAACGGTTCGGTGCAGGACCTGAAATATAAGCACATGCTCTTTCATCCGTATCCTTTAAAAATACCTGTTTAAATATGATAACAAATAACTTGATATCAAAAAAATAATTGAGATCACAATATCTTATTGATATCAGAGAGCAAGCAACTGCAAAAATAAAATGAAAATTTAGCTATCTTATCTTTTTAGTGTCTATCAGATAATACCCTTTTTAAGAAACAAAGAAATGTATTTTGACTGACAAGTGAATAAATTTCTCATAAATAAGAATATTACTCAGATATATAGTGAGGGAAAAAAAATCTTCAAAAAATATTTGAAAACAGTCAATCTTCCTTCTCACCTGCTGAAATTGTAGCTCAGATGGTGATGTTCGAAACACAATGGGGACAGAAGGTGGTGCTCGCTCAGAATTTGTTGTTGCTGTGACTGTACCAAGGTAATCTAGAATAGAAGACTCAACTTCTTCCTCTGAAAAGTCCCCAACAAGACTTACCTAGAAAGTGGGAAGATCCATGATGACATATCAGGAATTGTTATTCAAACATCTAACTTCTCATAAAAGAAAAAAAATAATCTTTTTGTTGGTCTACGAATGTATAAAATTTATATTTTAGGATTATTTTAGCTTATTCGTACTCTATATGGTTAATTTCCCTTTATATCTCATTCTTTTTCTCTGGTAAAAATTCCTAATTTCATTTTTATTTTCTATCAGAAGGAACTAGAGCAGACCTCCATGTTATTGCCTACAAATTGATTCATCACTGCATTCTTCACGGTTTGCAATGTTAAATTCTGCAATGATTTTGGCGAAGGCTCAACAAACCGCTCATCTCCATTTAACATAGCTAACATGAGTTTGTGAGCAGTAGATCGTTCCAGGCTTTTAGGAATAGACCGGTAGTATGACATATATAACTGCTTTGCTCTATCAAATGCATCCTCAAGCCAGACGCTATGCTGCAAATAAGTAATTACCATGACTTCAGCAAGTAAGATGCAAGAATATTATTTGAAGAAACAATTTGAATTAAACCCTGAATAATTGAAGGGAAATATTAAATCAACACTTCCAAGTAAAATACTATCTTGTAAGTTAATTTACAGTACAAAAAGGACAAAAATAATAATTTATGGACGTCTTCTTGTCTATCCTTTTAGGTTGAATCGTAAACACTTGATTGTTAATAAAAAAAAATGAAATGAAAAATATTCAATTCATACTAAAAGTTTGTGTTCTAGCAATATTCAAGCTCTAACTATTTAGGAAATTACATCATAACATCTTACATATGCAAGTATGCTTTGTAAGGAAATATAAAGTAGAAAATTTTATAACAAAATCAGCCATTTGCACATGCCTCAAGAACCATGTGAAGTAATTGGAAAGCTGCGCGCATCCCATTATCTCTCAAGGTGAAACGAAATTCCATAGCAATGAACTCTTCAGTTGACTCCAGAGAACAGTTTATTAAGTGATTCACACAAAAAAGTTCCACCTACAAAAACATTGCACATATGATATTGATCAACTTGAATAAAGAGTTATATGAACTGCAGTGAACCGTTCATTAAGTGATTCACACACACAAAAAAAAAAAATTACATCAATCAACTTTAAGAGTGATAAGAGTCATACTCATACATAAGATCTCACGATAAAAAATATTGGTATAAAAAGCAAGTTATGCAAGGTTAAGTTATAAGTAAACAATGTAAATTGCATGCATTATTTTTCGTACTGCGGACATAAACTTGGGTCATAATGAACAAGTGAATGTGATCGTTAGAGAGTACTCATGCCAAAGCAAGCTCTTGGAATACCAGCAATACCCATTTTCTTAAGTACAATGCTGCTGTTAACTTGTAATGGCAGTTACCACGGGAATATCATTAAGTAAAACAATTAACAATTGCTTCCAGTTGGATAGAATTGAGTTCTGTAGGTACCTTATATATATATATATATATATATATATATTAAACACCACGAACAACTAGCTATGATCAACCTTGAGACAACTTTTTTATTGGTTCAATAGGAAGTTCATTGCTTTATTGAATTTTTCTCAAGTTTAGTCAAAAGAATTAGTGTGGATGGAGAGTGAGAGGAATGTGAGAATTAAAATGCAATACCTGCTCCCTTGAAAAGCTTCCCACACGACCTCCCTCACTGAGAGTTCGAACACCTACCACGACAGCTCCTTGTGAGTCAGGACTTTCAGCTGCTCGTCCCCCACCAACTATAAGCCGCATCACGCCTGCCTTATTTTCACTTTTTGAAATCTGCATGGGCAATTGTATAATTGGTTAAAGAAATTAACACCCACCTCCCTCCATACATTCTTTTCGGAGCTACCCATGTTTGTTTGAGAAAACATCCATTGAATAAATGGTATTCTACGCCCTAGAGACAAGTAATATGCATTTTAACTACAGCATCTTTAATTTCAGATATCCATTTACATTATACTTCTCACGAAGATGACTGGAAGTTATCGGTAAACATATTTTGAGCTATATGCTAGTAAAAAGAATTAATAAAATTGTACTGCTGGATATCCAAAAAATTAGGAAATAAAAATATGAAGCACAAGATTACTTGCAATCCCATTTGAAAAAATAATAGAAATTTGTGAAACACATCTGTCAGATGGACGATGGAGAAACAAAAGACTGAACTTTCAACCACATTGTGGACATGTCTTCCTCTCTTTCTTCAATAATTCTATTTTTCCTTTCCATTCAAATACACCAAATAAAAGCCAAATATGAAGTTTTTTTTCTTTTGAGTACAAAAAATATTGGGGTTCGGGGATTTGAACCATAAACCTCAAGAGAAGGATTATATGTCTTTTACTGTTCAGCTACGCTCACGTTGGCAAGCCAAGTAATTTTTTAGAAAACCTAAGTCCTCCAATGAAAATGATCAATACCATGAGGTTTCTACCCACCTCATCCCAACTCATGACAAACAGTTCCTTAAAATATTAGAAGAAAATACCATGCAAGAGGAAATGCTAATCATGCTTCACATTTGATTCCATAAACAACACATTTGTGATAACAAACAAAATCCCAGAAATCTCCTTGGTGACATGTCCTTTGTTGAAACTTAGCCACAGTCAAAGCAAAAACTTCTTAGCAAGTTTCTGCTATCCTTGGAAGTTATCTAACCAGGTAGTTAACATTGTAACACAGGTGAAGATTCAAATGGTTGTCCACAACATAGCTCATTACGCTGGCAATAAAATTCAGTCTAAAAGTTATGTTTTCCTTTTTTTTTAAAAGAAAAAAAGCAAGATACACACTTCTAATCAATATAATAAAAAGATAAACCAAAATATTTAAAAGAAACAAACTCCTAAATGGAGTGAGTTAAAGCAAAGTAATTAAAAAGAAAATACATGAGAATAATAAAAGCATCTCAATTCATACATATATTGCTAGGAGAATAATGCATTAGAAAGAGACCACCATTATGAAGCTTTGAAGATAGCTAAATCGGAACACTCTACCCACACTATAGGCTTGTCTTCAAATATCCATTAATTCCTCTCAAACATTTTTGTTTTTTGGGATAAGAAATAAAAGATAGAATGGATATAAGTAATATTTAATAGTAGCTAGAATGAAATCTACAGATAGCAGTTCACAGCCCACCATCCATAAAGTAGAGTCTAACATCAGTTTGTAATTTATCCTATAAGTTATACCTTATAATTCACAGGAATTCCATTTGAAAGACGGCATTGAGTGATCCCTGTTTCCTTATCATGAAATTTGGTGACACTAGTCTCTGGGTTTAAAGGAATAAATGATGGCTTCTGTTGCATCCTTAACTCAGCTATCTGTGATGAAGAGATCAACTCTTTTGGTACCTCGAGCTGCAGAAGTATGTAGAAATTTAATAAAAACGAAAAATTGATACAAAAAACAAACAGAGATATTCATTCTGAAAGTGGAAACAAAAGAGAGAGGATAAGAGAACAAGATACTTCAGGCTCAGCTTCAATAGGTTCATCCAGTCCTGCTTCAATAGCAGTAATTATCTCACTTGCAGTTATCTTAAACTCTGTTTCACCCAATCCGTCAATATGTGCTTTCTTTGGAACACATGCAACAATAGCTGCAGGAAGGGGTGCCGTAGGCTTTCCATAATCAGAGATGAATTCTAACACTTCAGCACCGATGGAATTCACCTAGGGTCAAAAATTGGAAAACCAGTAAATCCATCATACTGTTAGTAAGAACTGCTGATAAATAAGGGGTATAGCAAAATCGACGAACATGATATAGCATGCAAATGACAGCTTCATTGCATGGAGAGAGTTGAGTGACTTTCTTTTCTTCTTTTGATGGAAGACTAAGTAAACGATGTTATAAAAATTTAGTCAACCTTTACCCTCCATAATTATTAAATGCACTCGTACAGCTAATTGTCGAAGTGTCAGAGATATAACCGGGCACGTATGTGTGCATTGTTATTTACTTCATCCATCAATATTTATAAATTAATAACAGTACACTTGTAATATATATCAACATTAAAAAAATTACTAAATACAAAGGATCAGGATAAGCCTATAAGGTAGCCACCATCTGAAAGGAAAGGAAGACAAAACATAGAATAACATCCTTTAATTCAATACTAATGGCAAAGCCTTTTCATAACCTCTGTTGGTATTTGTATGAAATCAAATCTTCCTCTCTTAGACTATTTTCACATCAATACGAATTCCCCGACGTTCTTATAAGTTTTGAGAAGAAAAAATTTAAGAAAATAATAGAAGAGAGAGAATTTTCAACCACCAAACTGACTCATGTCGGAAGTTTTGCCGAGTTAACTCTTTCAAGAGTAGATTATTTATTGAGGATGGATGTGATCCTAAATAGCAAAATAGCCAGAACTTATTTCCTTGAAGAAATAATTTCAAGAGAAAATACAGCATGCTAGGAGAAATAATCACTAATCAGTACCAACAATTGGAAATGAGGCGGCCTATATCAAAGAGACAAACATAATCTGCTTCCCATATATGTCACTAGAATCTTATTCACATTATATGCCACTTTTTCTTCTCAAAGCTATTGCTCCATTAGAACAACTCAGAAAATTCCTTCAGATCATAATTAAAAAATAATGTACCTCTTCAAGAGTAACTGTTCCAGCAACAGCAACTAAACTTTCATGACCTTGTCTTTGGTCCATAACTGTATGCCCCAGTGCATCACTTTCCATTATAAAATCCAAATTATCAACAGACGACACGTTATCAATCATTGCTGCAAGGTGTTCACTGTCTTTTAGAAGTGCATCCATATAGCGAGTCAGTTCACCCTTAGTGACACCGAACTCTTTAAGCCTCCGGACCTGCACCACATGGAATACGGATTATATAATATGTTCAACTGTCAAAGTGCAGCTGGAGTTTCTGTTTCAGAAATCCAACATGAAAGGCACAAAAGAAAAAGAAAAATTCTCAATTAGAATCACTTACTACTCGGTAATTGATAATGTCTCACATCAATTAAGAACAGAAACAATGAGAAAAGAGTAACAGAAAACAAGAACTTCCATTCCGTTCTATGGCAAGAAACTAGTTTAAGTGTGCGTAAGCTGGCCAGAATATTCATGAATATCAAAATAATAATTAAAAAAAAAACCCTATTTTATTGCAACAAGCCAATCGACCATTTATTTTATATCTTTTTATTTATTATTTCGTCTTACTATATTTTTTTCTCAAGTCACCCTGATGCAAACCCATTCATCTATCTACTTTGTTATTGCATCACCCGGTATTCTTCTTTCTTCTCCCTTCTCTTGTTTTAGTAACATGTGTACATGCCTTCTTTCTTAGCATTAGTTAACCAGAATTCCTTTCTTTCTCTATCTAAATGGCCTGAGCACCAGCAAGGCTACAAAGCATGATTACAGGTATTTATATTCAAATGTAGGGATTAAAAAAAAAAAAAATCAACGCGGTTGAACTGTGGCATTTTTTAAAATATATTTTGGAGAAAATTAATCTTCACCAAAATATATGGTTGAATTTATAGTTTCTTCTTTCTCTTTTTTTTACTTTAACTGCGATTTTTTACTTTGTTAAACTAATTGACCTTTTTTTTAATAAGAAACGGAATAAATAAAATATATTTTGCCAATTGAAACTTCTCATTGTTTTAAATTATGCTGAACTCATAAAATACAATGAAAAATTAAATTAGAAAATAATAACTGAGTTTCAAGTTGAAATTGAGTCACATTACCAGGATAAACAAATCAATCAATAGAAGTGACACAGATGGAGGATAACAGAGAGTCTACCGGTTGGAAATTGATGAAATTAAAACTATAATGTCAAAATTCATTCACTTAAACAAGTAAATGCGTGGGAAAAAAATTCTAAAATTTTATTCTACGATTTCATTATAGGGACGTTATGGCAAAATGAGAGACGCAAACCTCTTGAACAGCAACTTTAATTGCGCTTTGCCAATTCTTGGGTTCAGCTGTTACAGTTAGTGTAGTGACAGTGCACCCTTCCCTTCCAGAATCACTATGGTCCAACTCAATGGAAGTGAATGGGGGATTTGAACTCTGGAAATTTCAATAGATCAGAAAATTTTTTAATGTTAAAAAATTTATACCATACAATAAGCAGAACAGGCAACAAACAACTCATACATCACATCACTAAAACCAAATCAGGATTCCCCCTCACATGAAAAATATATTGCATATTCAATTAAAAAATAAAATAATCATAGAAGACCAATAAGAAAAAAAGATTGTGACGAAATCAGACCATAAGATTACATCAAAACTTGAAATTTTCAGCATTCATAACCAAGATGGAATTGAGAGGTTACATTTTCCAACGCACCTTGTATCTTGTATTTATACGGAAATGCAGTGCAGAAAGAAATATCCTCTTCATAAGAACATTTCTCAGGTCACTAAATGTCCGAACCTTATTTACTGGAATCTGCAATGAATTTGCGTAGCAGGTATTTGATAAGTATGTTATTCCCTAATCCAAAACAAAACTTCAAAAAGAGAATACATGTGAAGAATATGAGTATGAAATATGAATCAACCTCAAAAGAAAAGAATAACTGCTAATACAGTCTCCATTTACTACAACTAGGAAAGGAAGAAAAAAAAGTTCATAATTTTGGAAGGAACTATCCCCGTTGAATAGCAAGTCACTCACTCCTCTCCTTTCTCTTTCTCTCTCTCTGTCATCCCAGTCCCCACATCCTGGCCCACCCTGCTTGTCATTTAACCCTTTCTTTCTTTCTAACCTCTTATGGAACTGCATTCTAGCCAGCTTTTAAGTTTCTCATTTCATGAGTTGTCAATGACATCTTCTTACCAGTCCTATTCATGTCAAATTGGAAAGAAGTGTTAATCACTAGATGATTGTTTCAGACCTCATTTTCAAAGTTTTGAGGGAGAGGGAGGGCGAGAGCGAAAACAAGAGTAAAGAGAAGAGAACTTACATTTCTGAGCATTGAAGAACAAAACAGTTTTATGATGAGTATCAGAGACTCGGAGTATCAATCAGGATTGCAAAGAGAGTGAGGTGTTGGTAGTTGGTGTTAACACACTGATCCTAACCAATGCTTGAATACTTACATGTTTCAAAAACTTCTATAGCAAGCTAGGAATATAGAATAGTCACTCGTTGGCTAAAAGGGGGAGCATCTAATTATGAGTTCTGTATAGCTGTATACTGACTCGGATCATATTTAATAATAATAATACAGGGTCTTATTTTTTGTCTCACAATTAAATTGCTGATTTGTACGCATGAGCAGGTAGGCTGTACTATTTGAATTTTGTTCTTTTTCCTAAACTATTTAGCTAGCTCTGTTTCCACAAAATCAGCTAGTAAAATTGCTGAAATTAGTTCATCTTCTCAAATTTTGTCAATATTAATTTTTCTAGAGAGTTAGTTGGAATATCCTTTCCATATAATGCATTAATTACATCTCTAAAAAGGTTAATTGTTTGTGTGCGCATGCTTACATATTAATGATTATAAAAGCTCTACCAAAAAAAAAAAAGTGAATTATGCTAGATAAATTCAGAAGGGAAAATGTTTAACAATATATTTAACACCACATACCTTGCAGAACATATTAATTGAGAAATTTTGAAGTAATTCATGCTGAAATATCTGTGGGGGATTTGTATATACATTGCTTCCAGGAAGTGACCAATTGTGCTTCACAGGAGGACGAATTGCATGCCTTTCTTTCTTAATGATCTTTGACTGATCTACTGAATTTGATCTCTCGTTTGATAAACTGCCAGTTAATCCTACTGAGATCTTAGGAACAAGAAAACTAGCCATTGCACCAAATGCACTGGGATTAGGCGTAGAAACAGCCTCGTTTTCTACCCCAGTTTCGCTAAAGACAGCCTGGAAAAGATAATATCAGTATATTAATGAACTGAGTCCTTAATGCACTTATAGTTTCTAATCTCAACAGAAAAAATTATTTGAACAAAAAACCTTGTTCAAACCTCAATTTGGTTAACTGTTTTTGCGATGTTATCAATATCTCCAACAATGTATAAGGTTGCATTTGCAGGGAAGTACCATCGTTCATGGAACTTCCTAATTTTATCAGCATCCCACTTCTTAATCTGTTCCTCCAATCCAATTGGGAACCTTCTGCTCAGCTTGTTTTCAGAATGCAGATGTTGCAATAGCTGTATGGCAAGAAATTTTCCCAATAAATGAAATCAGAGAAAAGAGCACTGATTAGCCAATATATAAACCTTATCAGAACACCACCAATCTGCAATTATTTTTTACGAACAAAAGCAACCACAATGCATATCTTACCTGACAATCAACACGATACTCTATTGTATTCATCATCTGTAGTTCAGAAAGGATGGCACGCCTTTCTTTTTCAACTCGAGAAGCAAGGAACTTTGGGTGGAAAGCTATCTATTTATATAAATACAAAGGAAGGATGCATATTCATCAAGACATATACTGAAATCAGACAATTCATTTGTGAAAAAAAAAAAAGAATACATCATGTAACAAAATCATATAAGAAGTAAGAACACAAAGCCACACTACCGTGCACTTCAATACATATAAATTCATCTATTGTCCATACCTCATTTAAGGCATCGAGAACAGATGGAAGTAGATCTCCGTCAGAATCCTAGCAGCCAAAGATAATGTGGTCAATATTCAAACAAATTGCCAGTAACAAACCCAGAAATAAAAGTGATGAAAGAGCAATAGTAGTATGGTGCTATATTCTTGCCCCATCTACTATATGGGTCAACTCCTAAAGATCCATCATGATTTTGAACATGCCTCAGTCATTATTCATAAATACTGGAAAAAATCACGATTCTAACATAGTGACTTCTCAATGCATTGATAAAATAAATAAAGAGTTGCTAAAACATTCGTGCAGCTATGTCATGCTGAGAGCAAAAAATAATTGGAAATGAAGATAACAAAAGAAAACGTTACGCAAAAGAAATGTATATTATTTATATAAAATCGGGACTCCCACGAGCGGCAAGATAACATATTACTTAAGATCAGCAAGAAAGAAAATAATGCTGGAACAAAACCAGTTCTCTGAGAGAATGTTTTTTCTTGTCCTCTAGGAACATAAAAGACGAGATTTAGATCAATATCAGTGCATGCACATAAAATTAGAAAAACCAACAAGAACAACCTTCGTGCTAGTTGGTGAATGGATATGAAACACAGTATGGTGGAAATCAGTGTAGGCATTAGATCGTGCGCCTGTACCCAAAAGTTTTTCGCGTTTCTTACTTCCAAGGAAGGCTACATGCTCTATCATGTGTGCAATTCCTTGCTCGTCATCTTCCTCATCAATAGACCCCACATGGACTTCCATGTGTGCTTCAAACCTAAATTTTTAAAAAATTATCAGGGGCAAATCCTTCATGATCTCAATCAATAAAGCCTCATTTGTTTAATGAGAAAAACAATTATAGAGTAAAAGGAAAACAATTGAAGTTAAAGTAACAGCTATCCTCCATTAAACAACTTACTACAAATCAGCTCAACAATAATATGATGAAGAAAAATATTAACCATAAATTTCAATCATACTAATATCCAAGACAAGGTGAAAACTTGAATTTTTATCCCACAAGCAATGGGTTCGTTAAATTTGGTACCAACAATATCCTGCGACTCTAGTGGATGTGAACTCGAAAAACCTACCTAACAAGATAAATATTAAAATTGATCCCCATCCTTACAATAAAGTCCCAAAACTTGAATTACCTAACTTAATAGATTAATTTGAAAAGGGGCTTGACAAATATTTGACATTTAAAAAATCAATGTTTCCTCCAAATGCAAATCACGTACCATGTTGAACATAAAGTATATCTTACCCTCTACTTAATAAAATGTCAACAATAAATTTCATATTTATTCTATAAGAAACAAGAAACATTTCATCAAACATGTGGAAGTTGCCCAGTTGCTTTTCAGCCAAACTTTCCCACAAAACATATCTTACTGAATTAGCCTACATAAGTTTCACTTTCTTTTTGAGCCTTGGGCATCAAAAGTAGAATCCAGCCATATAATTCTTTGGAACAATTAGAAAAGCACCAACCTAAGCTGTGTTTTCACAGTCTAGTGATTATAATATTGAACTCCGAAAATGATTTCTACACATAAAGCTAAATATTCATGAATACTTCAAGATCTCAAAAAATGTTGACTTGCTGAGCCATATTCATAAGTGATCCGCGACTAAAAAATTGAAATGCATTCACCAGTTAAATTACTTCTCCAATAACCACGTGGTCAATACCTGTTGGGGGGAACTTTATTCGGTAAAATAAGGTATCTCAATCCATTTTTCAACTGCCCTCTATACAACTTTGGATGAGACGGGAGTTCAGAACTAAGAAATGCCTCTAACTCTGCTCTTCCAAACTCAGGATATGAAATATCCAAATCTTGTTTCTCCAAAATACCATCAGACCAGGCTGTATTTGCTGCATGAGGCTCATCTGGACCTACAGTTGCACAAACAATAGGGGCATGCTTCACCTGGATGTTGCATAAAAGTACAGAGACGAGAAATATAAGAATATATGAATTATCAAGTAAATAGTAAATACTGTAATTTTTTTTTAATAAGAAACTGAACTTCCATTGAAGCATGAAAGGATATTATACAAGGGGAATACAAAAAAACAAGCCCACCAAAAAAAGAACTACCTACAAAAAGGGACCCCAATCCAAAAGAATAATACCTAAATAGTAATTACAAAGGGTCATAGAAACAAACACCCATAAAGAGGTGTTAAAACTAACAACATGTGTCTTGAATACACTTGTGTCTTTTACCAAAAAAGGAATAATATTCAAATACCAACTCCTAATTGAGTTAGGCTTTAGTATCACAATCCAACAAAATTGTGGATCAAGAGGCACTCTGTATTTGCTTCTAATCCAGTATTTTATGAACAAACATAACATATTAAAGTCTACTATCTTGTTTCATTAGAAAATACAACAAAGTTCGGTATACAAAATACAACAAAGTTCTGTATACACATGGCATGTGAAGATTGAAGAGCAACTGGGAGATAACTTCATGAAGCATGGATAGACTATCTCTATACCTCAAGTTGAGAGTATTATCCCATATACATTAGTGTTTAATTGTTTGTAAATAGCTTAGTTATTCAAGTCCATTAGTTATTTCTCCTTTGTTGTAATTTTACATTCTTTAATTCAGGGTTTTCTTGCCCACCTATACACATGACCCTAGTGGATGAACAATTTTTTTTTTGTATGAATCAAATATTTCATTGATGGTATGAAATAATGAAAAGCCCACATGGGCATACAAGAAAGCCTTCCAACTTGTAATAAGATCATTAAGAGAGTAGTTGTTAAAAGGGGAATAGAAACATTTACACCAACCAAGAGCTAGGACAATAACTCTACAAAAAAAAACTATCAAAAGAGTGGGATTTATCATTGAAGACCCTGTTGTTCCTCTCCAACCATAGCTCCATAGAAATGCCTGAACGATTTGTACCCAAACCATAAGCTCCATAGACTCTAGTGGATGAACAATATTAACAGGTTTTTGTCTCAAATCTCTGGTAGACTAAGCTACTTAGAGTGTTGTCCGCAAGCTACTAAGGTTGCATCAGAGTATTTTTCATATCTTTCCATTTATATGGTCTCTAAAAGTGATTTTTTCTTATGAAAAATTTATGTTAACAAGATCAAGAGACTCGTACCATTAAGGTGAAACGTTAAAGATAACAAACAGAGAGACTTGCTAAAGACTTTCATATAACATATGTAAAGTTGACTGGTTTTAATGTTGAAAATGGAGAAATTATGGGAACTACAAATTAAAACCAGGTCTAGTTGCAAAACGCAGATCAAGTAGCCACTTACAACTTTATCATCATGTTCATTCTTGGATAACCGTAAAGCAGACTTGTCAAAAATGAATCTAGGAGTGAATCTCTTGATACTAGAACGTCCCCTTTTTTGGTTAAGACAGCAAGAGATGCAATTCCTAGTCCCTGAAGTTTCATTCCCACGTTCCACAATTTTAGAAGCGCCTGGCCTTCGAGCATTATCTTTGTTTCTTCTAAACTTGTATCTACCAATACCATCATCATGAGAGTGCCTTCGAAACCAAAGAAGAAATAATCAACAAAGCTATGCACTAATATAAATATAAGCACTAAATAAAATCATACCTCAATCAAGGAAACAGATTTGAAAAGTTACATTACAATATTTGTCCGGACGGTATGAGCAATGAATTTTTGAAAAAGGCGTGGAACATTTTCAGACCTGATTTGATGAAGTTGTTCCAAGATTTTTTCGAGAAAGGGATCATCAACAAGAGAACAAACGAGACCTATATTTGCCTCATCCCAAAAAAGCTTCATCCGTTTTCGGTTAAGGATTACCGGCCTATCAGTTTGGTTACTTCTCTTTACAAGATAATAGCTAAGGTTCTCACCTCTAGACTAAAAAGAGTTCTCTCCCATATCATCCATGACTCCCAAGCAGCTTTTGTAGAGGGGCGTCATATCCTAGATGCTATCATGATTGCCACAGAAACGGTGAGCTCTTGGAAAAGGCAGAAGAAGAAGGGTTTCTTGATGAAACTTGACTTTGAGAAGGCTTATGATAAAGTAGACTGGTCCTTCCTTGACTCGGCTTTGAAGGCCAAAGGTTTGAGTAGTAGATGGTGCAGGTGGATTCAGGGATGCCTAGTTTCCACTAATTTCTCCATTATGATTAACGGCTGTCCTAGAGGTAAAATTTGGGCTAAAAGAGGCCTGAGGCAAGGGGAGCCTCTCTCCCCCTTCCTCTTCACCATTTTGGGGGATGTTTTGAGTAGAATGATTCATTTTTGCTATGAAAGGAATATCTTAAGGGGTTTCTTTGTGGGTTCTCCTACGATAGAGATCACACATTTACAGTATGCTAATGATGTTTTGCTTTTTAGTCCTTCTGATCAAAGAACTATGGAAAATTGGTGGGGAATTATCCAAACATTTTTTATGGTTTCGGGCCTCTCTTTGAATGTTGCCAAAACAGCTGTTATTGGGATCAATTGTAGCTCTGATGAGGCTGAACAATGGGCTTCTACCTTTGGGTGTAAAACAGAAACCTTTCCTTTCACTTATCTGGGTTTCCCTTTAGGAGGGAAGCATAGAACGATAAACTTTTGGGCCCCACTTGTGGATAAGATGCACAAAAGGCTTCATAAATGGAAATCCTTGATGCTCGCTAAAGGTGGTCGTCTCACCCTTGCTTAGTCAGTGCTAAATAGTATCTCCATCTACTATTTTTCCATTCTCAAAGCTCCTAAAACCGTGACCTCCTCGATGGAGAAACTTACGAGGGATTTCATATGGAATGGAGGCCACCAAAGGAAGACTGAGAATTTGGTCAAGTGGAATTGGGCGGCTCTACCTCACCAACAGGAGGTCTCGGTATTGGCTCTCTCAATCTCAGAAATAAGGCCCTTCTTATGAAATGGCTGTGGCGGTTTGCAGAGGAAAAAAACAGTTTATGGAGGAAGGTTATTGCATCTATTTACGGGGAAGACCCTCATGGTTGGTTTTCTTTTCAAGCTAGAGGCTCAGCTACGGGTAGACCTTGGATTGATATCCAGAATACCTCATCGGAATTTACAAATCTCACCTTTTTTAAGGTATCTTCGGAGATAGGGTGAGATTTTGGGAAGACACGTGGGCTGATTCTACTCCCTTGTCTCTCTCCTTTCCGGACTTCAATGGTTTATCTTCTAAAAGAGGTAAAGCGATCAGAGATTGTTGGGATCAACAGGCTGGTACGTGGGATCTAGGGCTGAGGAGAAACCTTTTTGATAGAGAAGTGGATAGGTGGGCTACCTTCACGGAGAAACTAGAAGGCTTCACACTTGGACAAGGCAGGGATCGAATAAGCAGACAGCAAAGGGGTTTTCACAGCCAAATCAGCCTTCTTGGCCATCACTTCACCTTCTCCTGAATTGAACTCAGCCACGGCTTCCATGATCTGGAATTTCAGAGTTCCGATGAAGGTCAAGGTGTTTCTATGGACTTTGTTCTACCGAGGCACAAACACGATGGGCAAAATTCAGAAGAAGCTTCCCCACTGGACTTTGTCCCCTTTAGCTTGCGGATTATGTAGACAGAATACTGAAGACGCAGATCACCTCTTCTTGCATTGCCCCTTTGCTACCAAAGGTTGGCACTATGTGGCTTCACTTCTGGATTTCTCCTTTTGTCCTCCTCGGTTTATTGATGACTTTATAACAGAAGGCTTTGGGGGTAAGGCCCTCAAAGGTAAAGCTAATGTTTTATGGAATTGTGCAGCGAGGTCAGTGCTCTGGCTTCTTTGGAAAGAAAGAAATAGCATAATTTTTTAGGATAAGCAACTCTTTTAGAATCTTTTTTTGTGAATATTAAGCATACAGCTTCTTGGTGGGCCTCCATCCACAAGAAGGTTCTTGTAACCATAGCCTTTTTCTGATTACTCAAGATTGGAAAGTGTTGATTGTATAGTTTTTTTTTTGGGAGGGTTTTCTCAACCCTCCGCCTTTAGGTTTTTCTTGCTCAGTTGGGCTTCGGTTAATTAATACTTCCAAGTTTCTTATCAAAAAAAAAAAGTTACATTACAATATAAGAAAATAAAATAAATGTTAAGATATAGCCAAGCTTCCCCTGCCTTTTAAAATATATTTAAGATATAAATTTAAGAGCTTAACATTAATTAAGGGAAGTTTGAAATCGAGGAAATTAATACAAAGGCTAGATCCGTTGCATCGATCGCTAACTCCTTCGGATGCAAAGTAGGTGAACAGCCACTAAATATCTTCAGCTCCCTTTGAACGGAAAACACTGCTCTGTTTTGGGCCCATATTCTCAAGAAAATTGAGTTCGAGCTTCACAACTAGCATCATTCATATATTTCCAGGGGTCGGAAACTCAATCTTATTTAGAGAGGTTGAGAGCTCTTGTTCTTGGGAGGAGGTTTGTCTCTTGTTGGGTTTCACGTCTCTCTTTGGCTTAGGTGTCTGAAGTTTTTTGTATTTACCATTTAAGTATTATTTTGTTAGATTGAAGCCCCATTTCTTTTTGTGGGACTATCTTTTCTTATGCCCCTTTGTATTCTTTCATTCTACTCATTAAAAGCTTTCTTTTTGTGGGACTATCTTTTCTTATGCCCCTTTGTATTCTTTCATTCTACTCATTAAAAGCTTACCTTTCCTTCTAAAAAAGAAGGGAAAAAAACTCCCCATATATTGTTTCTCTCTCTTTCCTAGTCTAACTAAGGATGCCAACAACCTAGAGAGAATTCTTAGGAATTTCGGAAGGCACTAATAACAATGGAAGCTACCATCTTGTTAATTGAAAAAAGACTCAGCTCCCTATTGTCTAAATGATACAGAGGTGCCTCACTGAGCAAGACGCCTTATGGAGGAGATTTGTTACTACCTAAGATGATGGCACCAACCTTCAAGACCATTTAAGGGATGCAGAAACCCAAGGGCATTTATTCAGCATTTGTGAATTTGCTAACAGATTTTGGGTAATGTTGCTATCCCTATTTAATTGGCAAACACCTCTTGCTAACAATATGAACAACTTCCTCCCTTATATGCTCACGGGCCATCCTTCTATCAAAGATAAGGATATTCTTTGGTTACACATGGTGAGAGCCTTTTTCTGGACTAAGGATTGAGATGATCAATTGCACCTTCAACAACAAATCTCTATCCTTTGACAGGTTTAACGAGTTGTCTTTTATCATGCTTCAGTTTGGCGTACACGTTTTTTCTCTCCTTCCTCAACATATAGCTTAAATGATCTTTTGACTAATAGGTAAGCCTTTTTATAACTTCCTAGCTCAACGACATTTTCACCCCTTTCTCTTTTGTGTATTTCAACACATCAATGAAATATATTGTTTCCTATTGAAAGTAAAATAAAATGACGTGTACCTAGTACCTACAGTGTCCTTGCTGTTAGAAATCCCTATAAGGCTGTAACATCCATTAGGCACATAGCAATGGATTAATCATACTGATACAACCTCGACACTGCCTAAATCAAGAAACAATTGTAAAACTTTCGATTTATTAAGACCAATAACCCATAAGATGAAAGAAACTACAATCTAAACAGTCAGAGACTTGTTCCATTCCAACTTCAACACCACCTTTGAAGGAATAGAAGTCACAATAATTGTCTTGTATATACACACTCCAACACAATAATCTATATTAATTAACTTGCTCATGCAATGAATAAAGCCCCCAATCAAGTCTCTAATTCGACAGACATTCATTTCATATCAGCACCAGCAAGCAGTCGGTAGACTTCTAACTTTAAACCATCCTCCATAGCAAGGAATTCTACAATGTTTCTCATCATCCAATATCTTAACCTCATTGAGAACTCACCCACCTTTGCCCAAACTCCAATTGTGCAAAATTTTCTGGCTCCCCCACCAAGCAAGGGTTATCAGGTTGGAAGAGATTCAAGGCACCAAAATTTCCCTCTTTGTCTCTCTTTCCCTAGGCCCTTCACTCTAGATGAAAATGAGAGTGAATCAAAGCATTCAAGATTGCTATTTGCTAGTCAGCTGATCATGATGGCTGGTTACTACAATGCTACAGAAACTTTAATGGTAAGGAGGCAGAGGAGTGGTATCCCTGCTAAGCCTGATGGGGGACTTCAACACTTTAAAGGCCAAGGGGCTTACAAAAATGGCTCCCAATTGACATAAATCAAAATAACATCATAATTACATAACTCATTAGACAAAGTAAAACAAGAGGAAGCAAAGAGCATCCAAGTCCTAAAACTAATCCAAATTAGAGTGGCAACCCTGAAAATTTCATCCAACTTCCAAGTCCTAAAATTCATCCAAATTAGAGTCGGAGTCTTGAAATATTCATCTGAGTCCTAAAACCATATCCTCCAATCATGACAGCACTAAAGATTTATTCAAAAACCATAGCTTTGCCTTCAAGAAAAAAAAGAACCCCAAAAACAGCTGCATCAACGCCATCTTGCAACAGATATGGAAAGACAACCGTATGCCAAACGAATACAAAAGGAGACCCCATCACTTAGTTGCAAAGTTACAATAGAAGTTCTAAACAACCATTCATTTTCTCAATGACATAATTCCACAAGTAAATTCTTCGAAAGATAATACACGCACCAAAAAAATAGAAAAGACCCAAGTCGCAGCCAGATAAAGAATTTGCGAAAAACGATATGTGAATATTAGCAAGAAAACAAAACAACAGTGGTAGCTATCAAGAACCCAATTGTTCATGGGGAAAGAAAAATTCACCTCCTCAAAGAGACGACGAAGCGAGAGTCGACGTTGAATCGGGCAAGAGGAGTGCAAGAGCGGGGAGGGAGCCGCAGTGAGTTCAGCCGCCTATTGGGTGCACCCGAGTCTTTAAGGCTCAACAAGGGCCGCCGTTGCGTCAAATTTGAAACAGTAGAAGAGCTTGCAACGGCCATTGCAGGCACAAATCCAAGAAAAATGGAAGAAGCGGAGGCAGAGAGCAGATAAACAAAACAACAGCTCGAGAAATTGCTAGGAAATCGAGACGACGAAGTGTATGGGGATAGAGTTGGCGGTTCTTGTCGAACCGCTTTTCTTGAACCGGTAAATTGGCGGTTGGTTGAGTTCTAGATCTTTTTGCAGAGCCTCAACTCTAAAGAGTGCCTCCAAATTTGCAAATCTTCACAAATTTTTTCCCTTGCGTTGTCCTCTCTCTTTATGAACCACAATTTGGGATTGGAGGAAGATTTTTTATATGTGATTTTTAGAATTAAAAAATTCCAATCATTCATTTTTTATTTTTCTCATTTTTTTATAACATGAAAAACTAATTGAGTTAAAACATGTAGATGACTATCATAGGATTTGAACCGATTCCCTCTTAATTATCTTAGTTCCTTTAAACCAATGAGCCACCCATGATGGTTTGCTAAATTGGTTTTATTAAACTTGTGTTCACTTCATTGAATTTTAATTTTATTTAAAAAATAATATATAAACTAATTATTAAATTAGAATAATTTCAATTACATTTAAATTATTTTATGAAAGTCAAGTTTCTTAGAAATTAGGAAATACTATTTTAAGGATATATAAAATCTTTTTAATACATTTGTCCATCCAATTTTTTTCCAATAATTAATTTTTAAAATAAATATTCAATTATTTATGAAAATATTTTTCAAGTATTTATCAAAGTTTCCGGATCATAATTGCTCTAGTGAATAACTAAATAAAAAAAATAGATGGGAGATAGCAGAGAAAGAAACTAAGTATAAAAATCTCTCATAGGTTCACTAATTACTTAACTGTTGGCGGGTCTCTTTGTATGTGTTGTCCGGAAAGAGGAGGACTCAATGATTATTCGTTCGCCGGAACCAGAAGTCAAAATTTTGGTAGATAGGGATCCCATAAAAACTTCTTTCGAGGAATGGGCCAGACCGGGTCATTTCTCGAGAACAATAGCTAAGGTTCCAGATCGAGTATACAAATTTTTTACCGTAGAGAAAATGTTATCAACAATCTATTAAATTTTTCACTATTTACTATCTTAAGTAAATTTAATTACTTAATTATTCTAAAAAAAATTAAATACTTAATTATCATCAACATTACTATTAAATTTCACTGACAATTAAATTTTACTACAACGTGAAAACCTTTTAAATAATACTTGTTTAATAACTATTAACTTCATAATTTAAAAAGAAGATATAAAATTAAAATAAATAATTATACAAAATTATAACGTCTTTTACAAATGTGATAGTGATAACAAAAAATAAATAAATATGGTAGAAACAAAATGACAACTATATAAAATGAAAAAAAAAAACAGTTAGAAATAGATACCAAGAACAAAAAAATTAGATTTTTCTTGGATCGTTTGGAAAAAAACTAGAGAAAAATCATCGATATACGAATTAATTATTTATTACATGTAATTTCATTAAATTGATTTACTTATTTATAATTAAAATTATAATTAATTAATTTCTTCATTTATTTAAGATATTTAATTTTTAAAAAATAAATGCATATTAGAAGAGAGAATTATGACAAAATATACATTGTAGCAACTTGGAGGGATAAAATATTGTAGCAACCAAAATATTGTAGCAATACGAGGGGTGGAATAGTATTTACTGTAGCAAACATGAAGAGTGAAATAATATTTACTGTAGCAAACCCGGATTTATAAAATTGTGAAGCAAATGTGGATTTGTCTTAACAAACCCTACAACCCGTTTTGAAAACGGAGAACCAAATACCCCCTTAGGTGCGGTTTGACATGCATCTAGAGATGCTCAATCAAGAGAGACAAGATTTACACGGACAACCTAGAGAAAGTTACCAATGCTTTGACGGGTTCTATCGACAACAACCAATAAGTAATTGAGGTTAATTCAAGCATGTAGTTTAGTAGATAAGACGTATATTATATAATAAAGACGAATAGTTGAATCCACCATTTTATAGCTATATAAAAACAATGGTTGGAATTGATGATCCGTAAAAACCAAATAGAACAAATTCATTTGATCTAGGTGGGTTAAKTTATGGATTTTGAATAATATTATATCATTAAACCTGAAAATTTAAACTGATATATTTAATTTTTCCCCATGTATTCTTAAAAATTAAATTTTGTCATATATATTTATGATTTTCATCTTTAGATTATCATGTCTTTCGTTTGTTTAAAAGCTCTATATTTTAATAACTAAATTATATGGAAAAGTACAAGAGGTTATGATAAAACGAGCTGTTTAAGAATATATATATAAATTTACAAATTTACAAATATATATATACACACACAGCAAGGTTGACTTTTTCTTGAATATTATATAATCACACTTATGCACCAAAGTGACCTTTTGAATTAATTAAATGACAGAAAAAAAAATAAAAGAAAGAAAAACATATGGAACACTCGCACATTCCAAAAGAGAATAATTAAGAAAAATAAATCCATATATTAAATTGAAAGTCAAATTACTTAAAAATTTTCAAATTGTGCCTAAATTTTGGATTAGGTTTCTATTTTTTTTTTTTTTTTTTTGAGGTAACAGTAAAAAATTTCAAGTAATATTAATTATTAAACTTTTAGTAGAAAAATATATGAATTTATATATATAATTTGATATTAATTTGTTTTCAATATCAGGTGAAAATCTGAATTTCAACCGATATGAGATATGTACATGTCTTACCATTAAGTTAGGTTGGATTGGTTAGTTTGAAATTAATTTGCTTAATAATTATAATCTCAAACTCAAATTCCTAATATTTAGAGTTTGTTTTTTATTTATTAGGATTAAAGTTTATTTCTGTCAAGTTGAAGAAAATTTTAAATTTCTTTAAAAAAAAATTATTCCATTTTTATCTTTGATGTGAAGGGAAAAAATGAAATTTAAATACTTGAATATTTGATAAATTTTCAAGTCTGTGAAAAGAAATATGATTCACAAATTTAAATTTATAAAGGAAGAGACTAAAATATTTGTTTTAAATTAAAGAAACGAATTAATATATATTTTTTCGTTACCGTGTATGAAGGACTCGATACCACGTCAGAATGAAAGGAATTTTGAGACTACACAAGCATGGTTAATAAGAAATACTTAAAATATTTTATGTTACCACCTATATTAATGAGATGCATATCGACCATTTTTTGTTGTCCACTGATATAAATTTTGAAGTTAAATATGTTTGATCCATTGGAAAAGTCTCTACTTTAGAAAACAGCCTAAGTCAACTCAGAAAGGTGGTGCACGTCCAAGTCGCAAGAGATGTAGTGCAAGGCGCCCGGGTATCAAATTCAGACTCACACTCTAGTTTGAATCTTGAACCTAAGACGATAAAGTTAACATTTATAAAGATGGAGAAAAAATCATAATCCAAAGTTCAAGACGTTTTTCTTTCTTTTTTTTTATTTATTTGGAGGTAAATAGACATAATATTTAAAATTATAGTTTAATGTAAACTAAACTCATTCTTAAACTATTGCTTTCCTCGTTTAAGTTCTGAATGACTTCTAAACAGTCTGATTTCATGATTTTTCATTGATTTTGGGGCTTCAAAAATTGTATTACAGTAGTATGAAATATTTTTTAAAATAAAAATAATTTATTAATTAGTTATGTATCTAAATATGAATGAAAAGAGGGGTAGTATATGAGTAATAGTTTTTGTTCAATTTAAATCCTATTTTTACTCTTGTAGTTGTCACCTAATATCCATCCCTATCCATCAGTAATTGTACAGCTAATCTTAGAATAACAATGAAGACCAAAATAATTATTATTTTTAAATTTAAAGATTAAATCAGTCATTTTGAAAGTTCAGATATTAAAATACATTAAATTATAACTAATTCTTTTAATAGTCGAGCATTTTTTTATGTAAGGATGGAGATTCGAACTCACAATCTCACGTCGGGTTAATGTCTTGGTGGGTTGACTTCTATAATTAGTTTTTAATTAATATAATAAGCTAAATATCTTTTTAGTCCCCAAATTTATACCAAATATTTGTCATCCATCTTTATGTCAGCTCCAAACATAGCTTCATTAGTTTAGTTTAGTACAAGAACATGTGGAATTATGATAGAGATTCGAATTCACAACCTTGGATCATTTACTTATGTCTTAACCAGTTGCATTTTATTATGGTCGGTCGTTTTTTTAGTTTTCTATTAATTACACTAATGCGTACTTAGCTAGCTTGACATTTTTATAAACCTTTTCTTTAATCTTTTATCATATGTTTGTTCTTTCTCCTTTGTCTGCCTTTCAAGAAAAGTACCCTAAATTTTAATACTTTATTTATTAAATTTAAAATTTTAATTCAATAATAAAAGTTCACATCTAGGGTGGAACTCTTCCACCAAAGCCCAAATATTTAAGATTTTTTTTTCATGAAAATACATAATATTTAAACCAAACTTTATATGATATCAATACACTAATGGGAACTTATAAAATTATAATTAATTATCCCTAGCATTGCCTATTTGACCAAACAATTGGAAATTTGTAGGATAACAAAAGGCTGTCAAATGGTGATGTGAAGAACATGGAATATTTTAGAAAGTTTTATATATATAATTTATAAATTGGAAAAATTGTTAGGTTTAATTTCTTTTTTATTGCATAAATTGTAACTGGCTACAGGTTGGAAAAATATGTCCTCAGGAAGATAAACCAAAGAAAGTCCAAACCCATCAAAGTCTCCAAGTTTCCAAGCACTTAAATTTCCACCTCCATTTTGGACAAAACCTACCCATCATAACTCCAATTTATTAAATTTCCTAAGTCTAAATATATTAAATCTGATATTGAGAAGTTTGAATTTATGTAACTTGTATTGGAATTATGTGAAAATTTTAGTTTGTAATATAAAGGGTCGATTTTCTTAATCGTCATACGTGGAAAAATACTCGACCCTTTAAAAAGTAAGACRGATTGTTTGGGCTAGAAAGTAAAGAAGATAATGAGTCGAATACAGAAGACAGTACGTATTCTATTGAAAATGACCAGCAATTCATTTTCTTTATATCATTTTTATTTATTTTGGCTTCTTTTGACCAATGAGTCGACCCATAAGGATTAATATAAGTTCAACTTCTTAAAGTCATGGGCCAAAGACCCACAGTAATGATAATAATGTTTAAATGCTATTTTAGTTAACATACTTTTAATTTTTGTTCATTTTGGTTCTTGTGTTTTCAACATGTTCATTTTGGTCATTGTATTTTTAATTTTGGTTCATTTTAGTCCTTGTATTTTCAAAATGTCTGTGTTGGTCCCTATATTTTAAAAAGTGACATATTTTATCCTTATTTACACATTTTTAAAATGAATTTTTTATACACAATAGAAACTCTTTAGTAAAAATTTATGGCTACAATTTTAATAAATTTAGTGAGTTAAGTATCATGCTAAAATTATGATCGAAAGAAATGAGATAAAAAAAAATAAAGATAAAGAGACAAAAATTGTTACTTTTCAAAAGTACTTGAACCAAAATAAACATTTCGAGAGTATAAATATTAAAATGAATAAAAGTTGAAAGTGCATATACCAAAATAGATGTTTTTAAAGTACAGTTACGAATCAAGGCCGAAAGTACCGAGACTGAAATAGTATTTTAAACTTCGTTGTTCACTTTTTTGTAATTTAAAAAAAAAAATGTACTTAAAATCCGAGCTAAATATCAAAAACTAAAAGGAATGATTTTGAATTCTAATACCTAATTATTCAAATTTCCAATAAATTTTCAACACCCAACAGTATCCCTCTCTCTATGGTTTTGACTTTCCAGTTTTTTTAGTGATTTGCACTATTAATATTGAAAATAATTGAAATTTTATATTTAAAAATTGGTGAGATGGCATGCCATTATATATTTATTTATAACAGAGCAAAATATAATAATAGTAATAATAATAAATATTAAAGTATGATGTGTAAGAGAGATTTCGATTTACATAATGTAACACATGATCCAGCTTTTATATAATCTGAAAAGGAATAAAATTTGGTATCGGGGAAAAATCACCTACGGCCGGTAACAGTGTATCGTATTCTTTTATCCAACGGAAATTATTTATCAATAAATTAAATTATGTTTAAACACTTTTTTTTTTATCATTCATTTTAGTTTTTTACCTTTAAATCGATAATTTTGATTCAGGTACCTTTTTAAATTTTTTTTTCATCATAGTTTTTTACCCTTCAAATGTCTGTTTTGATCTCCATATTTTTAAAAAGTGACTAATTTAGTCTTCTTTAAAACCATATTTCAAAAAAAATTAGTGAGTGAAATGTTATGTTAAAATTATGTAGAAAAATAATGAGATAAAAACTAACTAATATTATCAAAATGATGCTTTTTAATAATATAGAAACAAAAATAAACGTTTCGAAAATAAAATAATTAAAATAAACAAAAATTAAAAATACCATAATATATAAATCAAAATAGACATTTTAAAATACATAAGTTTAAAACAAACCAAACTCAAAACTACAATAATCAAAATAGCATTTAAATTATTAAACTAAAATTGAAATGGAGCCGGCCAGTTTATTATTTGTCAGGATCTGATGTTGTTTCCTGTAGATGTACACACACAAATTTATTACTTGGTCAAAAAAATTTAGTTAAATTATTAATTGTATGGTATTTATTTGCATCATAAAGTTCTAAAAAAGTTTCAATTATATTATTAAACTTCAACCTCTAACAATGGTAGGTAGGGATACCAAAAATTTCAGAACAAAGGTTGGAAATATGATAGATGTATAGGTTTTTTCTGGTAGACGTGCATCGTGAGAATTAGAGTTATGATATTTGGTTAAATTATGCCTAAATTCAAAAGCTTAAATTTATATGTTGTGATATATTTAATTTTTGTGTAACATATTTGGCTCTAGAACAGTCAAGATCGATGTGGTTAAGGTTTTGAATTCAATGTTGATTTAACATGGTATTAAAGTAAAAGTAAAAAATAAAAATCATTTCTAGTTGTTTTAGTAGACATAGACGGAATTGTTAGAGCCAATGTCGAAGAGCATAATCGAAGTTGTTGAGTTTTATGATAGTGAATTCAATGAAGTCAGTTATAGTGATCTTGTTAATGTGAACAAATATGCTAGACGTGTTCAATTGGGTGAATTTTTTTAATTAGATCATGTTCGTTTGAAATTCGATGGGATTTTTTTAGCAGTCCAAGAGGTTGGTTTACTTTTGGGCATGCTTCATTTGCATTTTACTATTATTCTTTAGATACATTTGGCATCGAATTTCCATTAGCTAAAGTTCTAATTTTTCTTTCCGTGGGGTGGTTGCCGTTGCTCGCGATTAGGTAGTGTGAAGCCTATTTCAAAGCAGTGAAAAATAATTAAAATTTCGTTAAATTACCAGAGTAGATTATGTTTAACACCCCTACACTTTTAATTTAATATTCAATAGAATTTTATGGTCTGTAAATTTTATAACATATCTAATAAATTGTAGACCTATTAAACGCGGGATATAGTAAGACACGTTTAAAGACACAATCATGAAAGTTAAAGGCTAAACTTGTCCTACAAATTTTAACCAATGAAAAGTTGACATGTTGAAGTTGTTAGTTTAAATTTTATACATGAACTTATTATGTCAATATTTAAATTACAAAATAAAAAGTTCAAGAATAAAATTGACACAATATTCAAACGGAATGTTCTATATTTTTTCTTCTGAGTTCAACAATATGTTGTTGTGAGGTTATGTCTGATATTTTGTTGAAGATATATGCTTTGACCAATTGAGTTATGTTCGAGTTGACAATTTCTATTCATTCATATGACAGTGGAGTTCACTTATCTATTAAACTAATAGACATAGATCAATAAAAGTATCTCACATGAGAAAGTTAGTAGAAATTTCTATTAATTGATGTGTAGGTAGACATTTTTCTTTCACGGTAAATTACAAGTTTAGTCTTTAATTTTTAGATTTTTTTAAGGTCTAATTTTTAGAGTTGTGTCTTATAAAAGTCCTAAACTCTCCGACGTATTAACCAATTCTCAAACTTTAAAATCATTTCATTGGTCACAAACTTCAAATTTTGTGTTTAGACAGGTCCCTGACGTATTATACATTTTCTAAAATTTATAGATCATGTTATATACAAAATTGAATCATCAAAATCTTATAAGACACAAAATTCAATTTTATAATTTACGAGTCCATGATTTTTCGAATAGGTCTATTATACTAGTAATCTAGATATAAAATTAAAAAGTTTAAGAATTGATTAGACGCTAAATGCTGGAAAAATTATTAGACATTTTTAAATTTAGCTACCTACTAAACAAATTCGTAATCTAACGATTTCTTTTTCCCTCTCAAATGAAGTCTTTCGCCCAAGTTGCACTTCACATTTCACACCCACAAAAAAGAAACTCCCAAAGCCATTTTTTTCCTTTTCATTGACGATTTCAAACCGCCTTTTTCCCTCATTATATATAAATACACAGAGCAATTTCCCGACGTTGACTGAGAAGAAATCAAAATCCGTGCCCTACTCCATTCCATTTTTTCATCGATTCCACAGATTTCTCCCGTTCAATTTCCCGATGCGAAGCAGAAATTAACGAAACAGAGGAAGCAGAGGCCTCCGCAAAATGCAGGGCGGAAACCACTGGGGAGGGCCGCTCGAGGTCACCAACAATGGCGGCAACGGCGCCGACGGCGGCGGCGATCAGGACCGGATCGCCGAGGATTGGGACCGAGCGGCGCTCCGATCGCAATCGTTCCATCAGAACAACAACCAGGAGCTGGACGAGACGCAGCGGAGTTGGCTGCTCGGCCCGCCGGAGGCGAAGAAGAAGAACCGTTACGTTGACCTAGGATGCGTAATCGTCTCCAAGAAGGCTCTCAAATGGAGCTTCTTCTCGATTTTGATCGCGTTCTGCGTGATCGGACTGCCGATCATAATCGCCAAGACTTGGCCCAAGCACCGCCCGCCGCCGGTGCCGCCTGATCGGTACTCTCAGGCGCTTCATAAAGCTCTCCTGTTCTTCAATGCTCAGAAATGTAAGCACATCTCACACTTTCTTCAATTCTTCTTCTTCATCTTTTTTCATGTGAGAATTCGAACTTTTGATTTGTCAGAGTCCATATTGAACTAAGAAATTATTGTTTTCTTGATATTGACTGTAGTTAGGGAACTCTTAGGATTTTTAGAATTTCTCTATTTAAGGTTAGATTATAAAACTTTTTAAGTCGTAAAAATGTCTAAACTAAGCTATGAAAATGCTTCAATTATATCGTAAAATCAAGAATGAAAAGGAAATAAAAAACCGAAACTCAAGAACAAATTATTAAAAACAAGCTAAAAAAATATACATTAATATGAACCTAAAAACGTCAAAGTGAGTATAATTAAGCGGTAATTGACGTATAGAGGTTGTGAGTTCGATCTGTACTTCCACATGGTCTACTAAAACACATCTTGTACTAAGAAAAATACAAGAAAACTAATACTTATAAAAATAATTCATATAAATAAGAAAGAAAAGAAAAAAACTTGCAATTAATAACAAATCATTAAAAAAAAATTAATTAATGAAAGGTATAGATGTAACATGTTATTCAAGTTTAGATTTAATTTAAAAGAATGGTTGTCTTTTTCTTTTTCTTTTTTTTTGGTCCATTTTGACTTAGTTTTACTTTTAATAAGTATATATACGAATTGTTTTCGAAATTTTTAGAAGAATTAGAAATTTTAGTGAACCCCAATGGAAACGTCAATGAAATTCTTTTAGCTAAATTATTTTTTAGAATAACATATTATAAGTATAGTTGTATAGTTGTGAGACTCAAGTCCTCACTCATTAAAAAATATATATCTTAACTAGTTCAATTATTCTAAAATAAATTCTCATAATACTTAATATAAAAGATGGTTGTTATTGATCTCATGGAATAAAAATATGACATTAAGTTAAAGTACACGATAAAATTATGTATGTTTACCGTTAGAATCCATAAACTTTTGGATTGAGCAGTGGTTATTTACAAACTGTTTGGTTCTAATTATTCACAAAATATTGAAAAACAGTTCGACTAAAATAACGTAATTCAATTGATTAAGATATCTAATTTTTTTAATTCAAATCTACATCTTTATATATTATACTGTAAAAGAGTTAATTAAAACACGTATATCGGATTAAAGGATTATAATAATTGAATACTAATGAGAAGTATATTGGGATGGGGGATGGATGGTTTAATGAAATCACGCATGACGGAGGGTTGGAAATGGGATGCAAGAATGTTGACGTAAACTTTATGAGTATTTAATTGTGAGTTTTAAAATAGATGAAAATTTGTGGGGCCCACAAATTGAGTCTCGTTACGGTATTTGTCTTCTTTTTGTTGTTTTGGGCCTACTCCAAATCCACTCATTCTCATCTCATCTTCTTTGTTTTAAATTCGAGTTTAACTTTATTTATTTATTTAAATTTTGACAAAGTTATATTCAGGTAGACAAATCTGAATTAGCTATCGTTACTCTTTTGATCGAAGAGTATACAATAGAAATATACCAATAAAATTAATAAATTACACTGCATCAATATGAGCTTTTTTTAGTCAGTGATGGTTAGATTTTTGTAGATACTAATTATTTCAAACGTGCTTACTCATGTTTTAGTTGGATTTGGGTATTAGGATGAGTTTGAGTTTTTTGGATTAGAAAAGTTTTCCAATACATCAAATACTACCCAGTTATCAGTTATCGTAGATACATCAACATTATATTTTAGAACGATCTATACAAATATTTATGGAAAGGAAATTGTTGGTGGGAGTTTGTGGGGTTCATTATTCCTTCATTATGTTTGAATCGTTTGATGAAGAATTATAAGTAATTTGTTAAATTTTAGAGTCCATGAACTTTAAAAAATACCTATAGGATTTTCGATTTTGTGTTTTACAGCGGGGAGATTGCCAAAGAAGAATTACAACATAACATGGAGAGGGGACTCGGGGCTGACGGACGGGAACGACACGGTGGCGAAGGGAGGGCTGGTGGGCGGTTACTACGACTCCGGCGAGAACATGAAGAATAATTTTCCGATGGCTTATTCGATGACGATGCTGAGCTGGAGCTTGATTGAGTACAGTCACAAGTTCCACGCCATCGATGAATATGACCACGTCAGAGAGCTCATCAAGTGGGGCACTGATTACTTGCTCTTGACCTTCAATTCCTCTGCCACTAAAATCACCCAAATTTACTCTCAGGTACTTAATTTTTTTTTAATTTAAAAAAATAAATAAATAAAGTGGAGTTTGTTTAGTGAGTAATATTTAATTAAATAACAAAATGAAGAGTAATTATGATGAAATGGAAACAGGTGGGCGGGTCCCAAAACGGGTCGCAAGTGCCGGACGACTGGACGTGCTGGCAGAAGCCGGAGCAAATGGAGTACGAGCGGCGAACGCAGACGACGTTCCAAGGTCCCGACGTCGCCGGCGAGATGGCCGCCGCGCTCGCCGCCGCCTCGATCGTGTTCCGCGACGACTCCGGCTACTCGAAAGCCCTAATCAGAGGCGCGGAGACGGTATTCGCGTTCGCGCGTGACTCCGGGCGGCGGGCACGGTACAGCCGCGACAACGCGTTCGTGGCGGCGGCGTACAACTCGAGCGGGTACTACGACGAGTACATGTGGGGGGCGGCGTGGCTGTTCTACGCGACGGGGAACACGTCGTACCTGGAGCTGGCGACGCTGCCGGGAATCGCGAAGAACGCAAGGGCACTGAACGTGACGGCGGCGGGGAGCGTGCCGAGCTGGAACAACAAGGTGCCGGCGGCGATGGTGGTGCTGACGAGAGTGAGGATGATGCTGAATTTAGGGTTTCCGTACGAGGAGACGCTGAGTCAGTACCAAACGGCGACGGGGCTCAATATGTGTTCTTATCTCAGGCAATTTCGCGTCTTCAATTGGACCAAAGGTAATGAACATGCATCACTATTCACTACTTCATCTTCTACTTTTCTTACYGAGAATGAGAATCCCAAGCATTTCGGGGCTCAATATGATCTTTTTTTTTAAAATAATAATAATAATAATAAGCACCTAAACGTTATTCTTCTTTTGATTAAATTACTTAATTTTTTTTTAGAAAAATATTTAATAGGTCTTCAGCACTTTTTAAAGTTTTCAAAAAAAATTTTGAGAGTGTATTTGATTTAATGTTGAAAGTTTTAAAAATTATTAGGTATTTTTTTTTTTCAAATTTAAGGATTTACTTGATATTTAGACACCGAATTTGTTGTTTAACCTTTAAATTTTCATATTAAGATTTTAATTCTATTTTCATATATATATATATATATATATACTAACGATAACAATTTATTATTTCTTGTTCATCAAAAAAAAACATAAGCAACATTTTTTTGTTTTTTTTTCTCTAAAATTTCAAATTAAATTAAAAAAAAATTATATTTTGAACAAATTAAAAACTTGAAATAAGAATTGTTTCTAGAATTTCTACCCTATGTAAAAAACGTTTCTTAAAAAATGAAAAATATGAATAATTATTTAATATAAGATTTGAAATGAAAAACAAAAAAGGAGAACCATATCAAATAGTCTCAACTAATTACTTATTACTTATTTGTTCTTTTTTTCTCTGTCACGTCATATCAAATCAATCAACACATATAATCACTATCAAATCAACCATACTAATCACTATTCAAGATTCGGCGTCCATTAAAATGATACTAATCACTATTTAAGATTGGGTAATTAAAATTTTTTAAAGTCTAGGAACCAAGAAGAGTTGTGAATATGGAGATTAAAGGGTTTAAGTTTCAGGGGGAATGATGATTATGAACAAAGGGCAGCAACAGGCACAGAATCTGCAATATGTGGCGAATGCTGCTTTCTTGGCCTCTCTTTTTGCGGATTACTTGAACTCCACTGGCGTCCCTGGCTTCAACTGCGGCCCCAACTTCATTCCTTCATCCCTTCTTCGCAACTTTGCTACTTCCCAGGTCCCTCTTTGAATCTTCACTTATGATTCCTCATTCAAATTAATCTATGAGCTTCTCATGAGTTTTCGTCGTGCAGATCGATTACATTCTGGGCAACAACCCGATGAACATGAGCTACGTTGTTGGCTTTGGCACCAAGTTCCCGAGACGAGTGCATCACCGCGCTGCATCCATTCCCAGCGATAACAAGTACTACTCGTGCAAGGGTGGATTCAAGTGGCGAGACAATGCTGGTCCCAACCCCCATAACATCACCGGCGCCATGGTCGGTGGCCCCGATCTGTTCGACAAGTTTCACGACGTGCGTAGTAATCCCAACTACACCGAACCGACTTTGGCTGGAAATGCTGGCCTCGTTGCTGCTCTTGTCTCTCTCACTACCACGGCAGGCGTTGGCATTGATAAGAATACCATCTTTTYTGGGGTTCCGCCGCTCGGCCCCAAAACGCCTCCCCCGCCGCCACCGTGGAAGCCGTGACCTTCACTGGGCCAAGAAAAACACCCCTTTTCCCCTCTCTTTTCTCTTTTGGGGGTAATTTTCTTTGTTTGTATTAAATGGTTTGACTTTCTCATGTTCATTATAAAAATTTTCTACACAAAATTAAAAAGAGTAGAAGTAGTAACAACTTCCTTGCAAATAGTAGTAACAACTTCCTTGCAAATACTTATTTATCATAGAAAATATACCAACACTCACCTACAAAAACTTTTACATTCATATGAAATTGGTTTCTTTATTGATTGCCAATTTGGAGGATCGCCAATTATGATGTGGTCAAGTACCACCTACTTGGTCTTATATAAATATACCAACTTTCTCGAGCTCGAGGTAAGCTTTAGAAAACATATCTCTAAACTTTGCCATTTGTTTAAAAAGTATCTCTATCATTTCAAAAGTTTAAATGCTATCTTTAATCTTTCATAAACGTTTCAAAAATATTATTTGAGCAAACATCTGACACGACAAAATCTAAAATGATGTGACAATTAACGTAGAAATTTGTCTGGAATAAGTTTGAGAAGAGAGAAAAATTTGAAGGGTTTATCATTTTTAAAAGGGGGATTAGGGCCTACATGATCTAGGATGAGATTTTAATTGATCCCTTGTTGAGATTCACTGATATTCAACCTTCATGACTATGTATATCGTCCTCCATAGTATCTTAGTATGCTTTATGGTGAACGCGAGGTCTATTCATGACGATGTTCACATGGAAATGGGGTGCCATATAAAGTGTAGATTGTATAAGAATGGCCACTATTTATCTAATAATCTCACCATATATATGTTGAGAGAAATACCAATACATCATACATATATATGTGGCTTGATTAGAATCTTGAGTGGTCATGCACTCTTCATATGGAAACATCTTTGATTTACAAAATTAAGAGGAACAAAAATGTAAGCTAAATGGGAAGATGGTAACATGAGTGCTCAAAATGGAATTTGACCATTTCCATTAATGAAAAGTAGACAAGTGATGATTTCGGTCTTCTTTTTCTCATTTTTTTAAGGGAACACCCTACTACATTTGTTGTTGAGGAAACACATGGAAATCAATTCCTAAATAGGTGGCTATCACGGAGTTCGAACCCATTCCCTCTATATCCTTTTGATTTGCCTCGGCTCTTTTGAGCCAATGATGATGGCGTTGATTTTGGTCTTAAACACTTACATGTTGTCTTACAAAAAAAAGAACCATGATAGTTTTTTCTCTACATGTTGCCTTATAAAAAAAAGTTACTTGCATGTTGACGTAACATGTTAATTGGATTATGTCCAACCCACCTCTAAAATATCTTGCCTAAGAAAAGGTATTATTTGATAAAAAGAGACTTTAAAGCATAATTGGTTGGGAAAGCCAATTCACTTCTTGAAAGAAGTTTGGTCATGCCACCCTCCAAAGAGGTGGATGCCATAATTTCTCATGATCTCAAAGTGGTAAACTTTATTCCATATGAAGGAGATAAAAAGGGTTTATTTCCCTGTCAACAGAATTTGGCTTCATCCTACCCTTTTTTTTCTCTACTTTGGCTAAGAATTTTCTAAACAAAAATTATGACAATGGTAAAGATTCATTAGATTAAAGTAGGACGAGAAATCCTACGAAAGTATGAACATAAATACAATCTTCTGGCCAATTGTGCAAGAAATTTATTCAAAAGAATGAAAAAGAAACAAGAGCCTATAAACTACTTTCCGTAATACAATGCACATCACATCCCTATACCAACCATGAAGCTCTTTCAGAGTTCATGGCGAATAGAAGCATCTTAATCAAATGAGAGGAAAGGTAGAGTATGAAAAGGAGATTAACCTGGTTTTGTCATTGCACATAGCAAGAGCCCGGACCCCAAGGAGCAGATCTGCCGAGTCCCGATACTGGAGCGGCAGCAATCCCTCTTTGATTCAGCAAACACCTGAAGTGTGCCAACCTTGCAAAAACTTGGCTGGGGTTTTTGGCCAGGTTGTCATATGGTGTCCAAAGCCGCTCTTCAGTACATGATCACCAAAGGAGGTAGGTATTAGTCAATTAAAGTAGGCACACTATAAATCAGAGAAGAAGAACAGAGCCAGTAGTGATTTTCTGCAGCCATATATTTTGGATTTTTTGGGAATGTGGAAATGTGAAACTACATTTTTTTGCTAAGGATTACAAAACATTGCATTGCCTTAGCTTTTATGAATCGGAAACTTTTGCACCATATCGTTTTGCATAGGGTATTAGGAATGGGAACTATCATGTATCATAGGCTTTTATAAATTGCATAATGTAACTACTACAAAAATGATTTCATAATGCAGAGTTATTGTAGTAATCTATGTATTTTTTCACGAAAATAATGATAAATTACATTTTCTCTAAGAAAAATTGTTAATTAGTTTGTTTTCAACGATAAATTATTTCATTTCATAGTATGGATGCTCAGATAAAACTACAAATGAGAGAAATAAAGTTGCACATTATAGATAATTCTTCAAAAATTTTTGGTTCTTTACAAAATAAATTGACTTTGAAATCATTATAGTTAAATTTATAAACATATAGAATAACTACTCTAGACAACTTAGGAAACCAAAGATTTAATTTGGCTTTGCCAACGATCAGATTTTGCTTGGAGATGCCTTCAAGGTTCAAGCCACAAATAAAAAACTTAAAAGTTTTAAAAGTTTCTCAAAAAGTGGCCTTGCCCTCCCAGAGATTAGTAGGAACCGGCCATGAGCATGATACAAAGAGTGAACTAGTGGATCATCAAAGAAAAGAAACACAATCAGATTTTTCTCTAGTTCCCTTGTTAGTCTGAATCTGATGTTTTTAAAAAGATAAGATTTCTCTACTGTTGCAAGCACTGATATATGAATTTATTCAAACTATCCTTTGTTTAGATTTTCTTTGCATTAGTTAATTTGACCTCAAAGTTAAACATCTGAAAAGTAATTACTGACTAACGAGATCTCAAAAGTCAAATTTTCAGTTGATTAATAACATGTTTCTCAACTTGTCATGCAGAAATATTAACAAATAAAAATAAAAAAACAACTACTACATACCTGCAGCGGCTGCAGCACGAGGCCATATAGTTTGCTCAATATCTGAAGCATCAATATTTTCGCCCCACATGCATACCTCCCCACCAATGACTAACTTTTGTTGCTGAGGATCTGTGATATTTTTAAGCGGCTCATTTATATAGAACTGCTCCCAACTTGTGTCTATGTGGTCCAAGTACCAGCTATCTTGGTTGCTAACTATGCATCTTAACCCAGCTGCAACAACCCTTGGAGCAACACCTGTACCTAGCCTGAAAATGAAATAAACTAGCAATCAGGAGAAGTAAAAATATGGGATGCCTTATTTGGTTCCATTTTAAGCGAAGAATTATCTTTTTGTTTTTTGTAGATTTCAATATTCATATTTTAGCTTATTTTTATTGAGAAGAATATCACTCTGGCATAGGGGGGTTTTAGAGGGAAATAACCTTGAAAGTGAAAACAGAATATCACTACGGTTTATGGCAGGCACCATCCTTTAATTTCAGTGTACAGTCTTTCCACCCCTTTTATTATGATTTTTGGCTAAACCAAATTTGTTTCATATCCAATTTAGGAGAATTAATTTTATGCTCAAATAGTTAGATTGAGATATAAGCAAAACCACATAAAGTTTTTCCCTTCACATTTTGAGAAGCTTAAATTAATCGAAGACATTTACCACTGACATAGTTACACCTCTCCAAAACAATTAATCTCACAATCATCACTAACCTAAGTAGCCAAGACAAGGTAGTAACAATTAATAGGTGTTATGCACAATTATGTAGGTTGAAGCTCCAAAAAAAAAAAGATTTCCTTCATTATGACACATTCCTGAAGTGATGGAGGTACCTCAAGAATAAAGAAAAAATAAATTGAAGTGAACTTGATATTCTATTACAGGTTAAGTTATATAAGCTTAACTATCTAAATAGTTAAACTTGAATATGAGGCCTTTTTAATTGTAAAGAAATAGAAATGAGCTTCTTCTAAGTTCTAATAATGAATCCTGAACGATCTGCATAATTACTCAAAAACTAAAGCTCACAATGTGGAAATTTCTAGTTAATGAGAGTAGGTATGCCATACCAGTTATGCACAACAGTCTTTCGACTCAATTCGCTGCCAAAGTCATTGAAAGTCTCTTCCCTGAAATTTTTGCATTGAGTATATAAGATCAGAAAGCTGCCTTTGATTGTTAAAATAAAGCAGAAGCACATACCAGTTTACAAGTTCATATCCATGTGACAAAGCTATTTTTTGGGCCCGCAGGACAAAGTACTTGTAAGCATCGGATTCTTTCATACCCTTTTTTCTTAACCTGTTCATTTAAAAAGTCAAAACATGTTTGTCTCAATACTGCATTTGGGAGGATGGGAGTTGTTTCCAGACAACAATTATGCATACAGATAGAGTATATAGTGATCTATAATATCAATGATCATTAAATAAGTCCCTTCGGAGCCAAAACCAGGATTACAAGCAGCTTCATATTGTACTTGATCCTTCAATTATGGTATTAAACATTGGTAGTATCCAGTATTACTATTAAAGGAAAAATGATAAGATCGTGAACTGATGTTATTTGAACAAAAATATGGCATGACTTTATACATATAATATATATATATTTTTTAAAGATAGAATATAGCTTTTGTCGTAACCTTATATTTAATAACCCTCAACAACATAATGCTCAATCAATGCATCTTCTAGGCTTTTCCATTGATGTACGATTGATAACTAGGATGTCCGAACTAATTTATACATGCATTGACTGATCCCATATGACTACTGTCAAAATGAAATCATAAATCCTATATTTTTATGCAAGTATACCCATTTTCACGTCAAGACTTAATTTTTTTTTTTAGGAATTTGCACTAACATCAACATTTCCAGTAGTATTTCATTCATGTTCAACGGGACAAAATTTTTTTGACGTTATTTTAAATATAAAAATTTAAATTAATAAAAAACACTCTCAATTGCACATTGATTTGAAACTTGAAAGTACCAAGGTCAAAATTAAACACACACGGTCCCCTATTCTTTTGTAAAGTCTACTCCTGTGAATATAATTTGTTTCTTGCCAGATGAGCAAATAAAGAAACAGTAAATTTTCATCCTTCACTTAAAAAAAGCCAAGTGGTAAAAATTCAATGAAATTATTTGTTTGAAGAAAGTAGATAACAGAAGAACATGGCCCCTGAGTATTATTTATTTTACCCTATAGATAACAGGAGTTGATAAGGTCGTAGATTATTACCAATTTCTTATGCGAGGAGTCGCTGTCCAGCAAGCTGAAAGTAAATTTGAAAGGATCATGTTATCATCTAGATGATCGAGGTTAATAAAGATCGATACAGAAGATTAATGAAAGCAGAATAATACATTTTGCTAGTTAATATAGATATGTATTTTCAAGATACTTGAAAGGAAAACTGGCACAGAGAGCTTTATGTAATGAATAACTTTATGCAGATATTTTTTTGAAGGAATTTCCTCAGACATACGCATATCCCGAACCCAATATCTCACCTAACAGTTAAGCTAATAACATCGGTGAAAAGTTCAATATGATATCAATATATAAAGCATTCTAATATCAAAACTAGACAGGTGAAAGAGAGTTCTTCCCTCCTTAGGAACCATACTTATCCCTCTACAACTTTACTTTGAAATTGCCCCATTCCAGAATCCCTCCTCTAACAAGACTAATGGCAAGGGAGGTAGGTAATGGCAAAATGTAGTGTCTTGACTCCTCAAAAATCTTAGGGAGCTTTAGGTTTGGACATTGTAAGGGACATAATCAGACTCGGGGAAGATAAATAGTTCCTTATTTCAGCCGATTCATACGCAAATTTGTATGGTATCCCTCTTACGTTTATCATCTAACAGTCTCAAAAGGTGTACACAATGGGGACTACCGATGTGGGAAACTGAACTTTGAAAGGAACATGACAGATGTTGAAATCTAAGATAAGTATTTCTCCTTTGGATGCCTTAGATGATGTTAGTTTTTTTCCTAGGCGGCCACAAATCATAGGGTAAGGTTCCTAGATTCTTCGGTGGAAGAAGACCACGAGTCTTTAGTCATGGCCAGATTTGGTTTTCTACGCAGAAAATGATGTTTAGAAGATTGAAGGCTTCCTATGAAACATATATATTATATATGTTTTTAATGAAAAACCTAGCTTTCATTGAGAAACATGAAAGAAAATTCCCTTCATCCCTTGCATGAAAAAATAAAGATTCTCGACTTTGCAACAATAAACAAATTCACCGAAATCCTTTTACGAACTAAAGTCAAAGTGGATCCTAGGTTTTTTTATGAGAGCATTGAACTTTATCTCAGTTTCTAAACCGATAAATATAACTTCAAAGATGAAATAAACATGGAGTTGATYAAATAATATTGCAGGCTTTTCATGACAATAAAAGCAATATCCAATTGTTCAACTTACTTGTGTTAACTTCATCACCTCCCAAGTGAACAAATCTATACTTGAAGATCTTGCTGAAATCTGAAACACAAACACAAGAACCGTAATATTGTACCTCATCTCTTAAAATAAAGATAAACTAAATTAACTACATGCTTGGTCCAAAACTGCAGGTTCTTTCAAATTCTCAAGAATCAAGACGATAATTGTAACACGTCACCTTCAATCTATAATCTATCTTCTCTTATCTTAACAGAACCATCTTTTAGAAATATTTTTGGACTACTTTATCCTTTGTGGATTATTGTATAGTCCTTCCAGTTGATGATTATAACTAAAAACCATAAAGTATTCTATTCTTTCCAACAAGCTAGAGAACGTTTTGCTTTATTGGAATAAGAACAAAAATGTTCAAGGAACAAACTAGTGAAGTTTCTGATAGGAGTGGCTCTAATGATGGAATGACCCTTAGGATAATTAGAGATACTTTTTTTTTAACAAGAAACAAACTTTTCATTCATAATATGAAAAGGAATAGGGTAATTAGAGATATTATTAGAGTATTAAGGGTATCTTAGTAATTAGATAGGAAAGTTATTAGGGAGAGTTATTATAAATAGAGCGAGGGTGTAAGAATGAAGGTACCAATTGTTTAGTATAGTTTAGGCTTGAGTGATATCTCAAGAGGGGAGGGTCCAAGTACCTCTAATACTTGGGTTATATTGTAATCCTTTTATCTTTCATCTTTCAATATATCTGGGTTCTATCAGGTTCATTAATCCATTTATTTATAAGAATTTTAAAAAATGAAAAAAAAAAAAGTTTACATTAGACTGCCTAAAATTTCAATGTAAGAGTTCATATTTTTCTCTTAAAAACTCATTAATATAAAATCATCAAAGTTGAGGGAAATTATTAATTTATCAGATCTCTCTTCGCACTGAACAGATTTTGTGTGTGAAAGGCATCATTTCAATTTTGCTAAGAATTTGAATGTAATGCCTTTTCTATTCTAAATATTTATAAAATATGTTAATACAAAATTTCAGATCAAACTGGCCAAGAATCAAGAGAGCTTGTGATGGAAGTGTGGCATTACCCGATAGTATTCCATCTATTACTTTAAAGGTGAATTCATTACTGACATCAAGTGGCTGCTGACATTCCTTTGACGGCCATAGAGCAGGATAGCCAACTCCCCTGACAAATGAAACCATGAGCTCCTCACACAAGTTAGAGTGTGAATAGAATAGAAGGTCAACAACATTTTTTTAGTTGGGTTGGGGTAAAACAAGTTCAATACCATTGTTGTAATTACCATGATAATGCATGTCCTGGAACATCAACTTCAGCCAATACACTGACTCCACGCTGCTGAGCATATCTACAGAACTTAGAAAGTAAATTAAAATGGAAACTAACTCTTGGGTAGCACATTCAAAGGAAAAGGTTCCTCACCTCACAATTTCTTTAGCATCTGCAATTGTATATCGCTCTTCCTTAGAATAAGCACCAAACCAAAGGTTTGGGAATGAAGGTATCTCCAACGGGAAAGATTGTGTATCAACAATGTGCCAATGCAACACATTCTGCATAAAAGGGGTTAAAATTGATGATTTTAAGCTAGGATGGGAAGTGCAGCAAATGAAGGTACTCCAGATCAGTTATTATTTACGAATCAGTATGGTCTGTCAATATCTAACTGATTTTGCCTTTCTTTCCTCCATCCATGTTGTATGAGTTTCGGCTAAATTATCATGCTCGCTTAAAGCCCCAATGTACATGCCTTATTCTCTTGTAAGATTTTAGTTTTTAAATGACTGACCACTTCAACACATAATGTCCTTCAAGGAACTACAGTATCTGTTTCTTGGTGCAGTAATAATCCCGTTGACACTGTTATTTAATAACTTTTATTATCTTCAATCAAAAAGATATATACATAGACTTTAGGTGGACTACTCTAAAAAAGTAGTTGGAAACTGAAAACAGCTAACAATTATTCAAACCATGTTTTGAGCTCATAAGCATTGTCTGCAAACTAATATTGCAAAAGTTATGCAAAAGCAAATGGATTATATACCAGCTTTGCATATGCCATAGAATCAATCACTTTCTTTATAACCGGCAATGGCTGATAATGTCGAGCAGTATCTGCACAAATGTCATTTACAGGTAAGATGACAATTGATGATTGGACCTGGCCACTTTTTTTTATTTGTTAGACTTGAGTGACTAGGGTGGAATTGCCGCCCTAGTCACTCTGACTCAAGTCTAACAAATATATAAAAAAACCCCATGCAGTCTCCATTATACTTTTAACTTCAATCAATGTTAAAATTAGGAAACAATCCAGAAAGTTTACTTCCCAATAAATATAGCATGTTTAGATTCTCATCCCTTTTGCACAAGAAGGGAAACTGTCCTCTAAGCGTAAGCATCCCTAAAGCCCAATCCAACTAATAAATCATACATAACAAATATATAGAACTTTGCTACTTCCCCAATCATCACCTTATGCCATGCTAACATAATCGAATTGTATAGACCACAGAATAAAGGCTGAAACTGAGGAGAATTCTCCAATCCCAATAGCATGAAAGAAATATACTTCTTGCTTAATTATCATGAATACTCCTTCCATAAAATTTAACCTACAATTTTAGGTAAAGGGACAACATCCACCATAAACAGATTTTTTTTTTCAGCTTATTTAAATCAATAGATGTATAACATAAAATAACTAAATATATAAATAAAAGCTAAAAAAACATGAGCCCATATTAAATCTTTTTGCGGCAGTAATGGAACTCATCAAGCAAAATAAAATTATATTTTGAAATGCCAAAATTTCTATGCCACAGAGAACCATGAGAAATTCTAAATAGAGAGCAAGGAAACCACAAGCATTTCTTATAGTGTCATGGTCTTGCTCAAGGATTGTCATTAAAGCAAATTTTGATATGGCCAAACTTGGAAGCATCTCATTCTCACCTATTAAAAGCCCTCGATAGGAGAACCTTGGCTGATCAATAATATTCCATGGAACCTTGCGAATTTCAATTATCCTTGATTCAAAATTGAAAGAGCATAATTGACTGAAGGTCTGCATAATTTCACATTAAAAAGACATATATTCAATATTTTATACATTCCATTATGCTCCAAAAATTAAAACCTTTAGAATCATAAGTCTCGGCATGTAACCTGAAGACCATGCAAAGCCCCATAAACTGTGCGAGCCTGCATAATTTGAGAAAGAACTTAGCCGTTTAGGGATCAAAGCTACAAGAATAAATTAGGCAAGCCATCAATAATAAAATACACTGATAGTTACACTTTATCAAGCAAAAAAAAATTGGCCGTGAATGAGGATGATTTAAACTTTCATTTTCACTTGTGGCTTTCACTTTTCAGTCGATAGCATCTAGTTTCAGCAAACTCAAGACACAGGAACCCCCATTAAAACTTGGTTGGAAAATCTAAGAGCTGTACACTTTCAGGCACACAACCAGAACAATTGTATATAACATAGTGTCAGTACGGGGAAAATTCAAGCACTACGCTAGTATGGAAAATTTTCCATACTACCTCTTGTTTTCCATATCAGTACCATTTAAGAATGGTGTAAGATTTATAAAATAAAATGATAAATTATCTTATGATGTGTTAAATTGTGAATGCAACGAGTACTAGGTACTCCTATGGTACTAGAAATTTTCCTGTGTTAGAACAGTCTGAATATTTAAGTAATATGAGCATAATTGTCTTCAAAACTTGAACAAGTAACATGAAAGCAAGTTTATAAAAAGAGTTTAATAAAATAGAAACAACTTAAGTCAACCTAATAAATAATTTTACGATTCTTTTTCCAAGTTGAACAAATGTGGGGTGGGGGACGAAAATTAAGCCAACATAATAAATAATTTTGTGAATGCAAATTTAAAAATAGAAAATCCGTCTAAACAAAAATAGTTTTATTTAAATAAGAAACATAAATTTAAATTAAGCCAATTTCTATTGCTAAAGATATATAAAGAACTTTTTTTTTTTTTTTTTGATAATGATATATATAGAACTATTAGATTTTGTAACTAGTATCAAGTAATTGCAGTCGATGCATAAAAAGAAAATTAAAATATAGCTCTATTTTCGATCGATTCAAGAATTCAATTTTAAAACATGAACCAAACAGATTTGAACGACCAATTCTCGTGACAAAGAAACATCCATTAGTCAGAATATTCAGCACAAGTCCATGTTTGTCTCACAATGCAAAAGCCAACTAAAACTTAACAACTTTTTTCCGCGTTGATGGATGATATGATGCCCATATTTTCGCCTTTAACTTTTAAATGTCTAGAACAAAGATGAAAAACTGTTCGACTAATTATCGAGTGAAGCGGGTAGGTAAGGGTTTGGTTTCACCCACCTGGAGATATGCATAGGCAGGCTTTCCAGTTGCTGGGATAGATAATCTGTACGATTCGTCGACACCATATTGTAACTGCACCATCCACGGCAAACAATTATCGACGACGAAAAAAAAATGGTTCCGAAACAAATTACAATTAATTTGATTGAAATAAACCTCCAGAACCAAGAAACTAAAAACTAGAAAGAACCAGGATCGTTCAATAGTGAAATGGTATATTAGAAACTCTAAATGCATTATCACATCGTTCTTGAGAAATCCAAGAAACACGAATTGTAGAGAAACTTCAAATGCATTTCTTAAGAGTTCGAGAGCTTAAGTCTACTCAAATCAGCCGCAAACCCAGAACATCGACAGATAAAAACAGAGTCAACACAATCGTACCTCGTCAGAAGGCGAAGAGACAACAATGTGGATTCCAAGGAGCAGAGCAGAGGAAGCAACGCGAGAGAGATTAGCCTCAACAACATGAGCAACACGAACCACATCAACCAACCTCGAGAATCCCGCCTCGAGTATCCCAGAAGCATCGCTGAAGTTGGAGCCCTGAGTAGTGAGGTGAAAATCCTTGGCAAGATACAACCGATGGCGGCGGCCGTGGGTGACCGACGCCGGCAGCGGCCATATCCGAACACCTCCGGCGATCTCATTGCTCCCGGAAGCAGCGACGGCGAGCAGCAGAAGAAACACGAGTTTCGGAAGCAGAATGGAAGACGAGTGGGGTGCCATTGGGGAGTTGGAAGCCATGGCGGAGGGTGAAGAGGATGAGGATGGGGAAAACTATAATAAAAAATGATGAAGAAGACGACACAGAACCATGGAGCTCCAAAAGCGGAGTGTTTTTCCGGTACGTACCAGCTTTTTTACTTCGTGGCTTTCTCGTGATACCATCATATAATAAACAATAACGGATTTTTTTTTTTGGGAGTTTATATACTGTTTTTAGCTGTGCCTTATTTATTTCGTTTTGATTTCTATACTGTAAAAGGGACACGTGGATTACTCTTGTAATGTTGTGTATAATAGAACCCGAGTCTAACCTCATCATCGATTCCTATTCCCGTCATAGACAAGGACTAGCTGATCTTGAAATATACAACTTGAATTTTTGGACGCCCATGTATAAAGTGGGATCAAACCATCTTGGAAGTATATGGTCTAAAATGGACACATGAGGTGCGGATTTGAATCTCCGATAAAACAGTAAATTATTTATATCTTGTCCAGTTGATCTATGGTCATGTTGACATCAATATTTAACTGTTGAGTTTATTATACTTTTAATTTTACTTCTGATATATATCATCAACGTTGTGATTTTAACCATGGTAAAAAAAAATAAACAAAGAAAGTTGTGAAGTAATGTGACGTATACGTATAAGTAATGATTTAATATAATACACTCGCTTAAGTAATGTGAGGTCGAACCATAACAAACTAATTAACTAATCTTTTGAGATTATTCTATCTCTGAGTATAAACTACGTATACATAAATAACTTTTAAAAACTATTCAATATTTATCTCAACCAAACTCAGTTTGACTCTAATATATGTTAATGACATTAATGTATATAATCAGAATCAGCCAATATCAAAATAGACATTTTAAAAAAATAGACATTTTGAAAATTGAAAGGAGAAAATGAAATTTAAAACAATGTTTTAAATAAGATATGCACGTAATATCTCAATTATTTACAAAAGTTTTAGGAAAATACCGACAGAATGTTGGATATTTAAATTTTGACGAATAAACCTTTCACTGTTTGTATACCTTTTTAATTATTATTTTTACATATTTTACCATTATTTTTATATCATAAAAATGTGAATTTATCAGATTCAAAGATTTTATTAATTTACGAATTACGTGGGGAGGAATAACGATCTATTCTATTATTGGCAAATGATGCAAATGATTGGCTACTAATCCCTTTTGAAGAGCAGCGGGCCCCTACCATCCTTTAAAGTCACGTGCATCCCATGAGACACGCATGTGCCAGCTGTAGTTTATCATGGACCGTTCGATCTTTGTGCTGCCTCCCAATCATATTGACGCCACGTGGGTTATTGGATTGGACAGAAAAAAGAAAAATTGTCTTAAAGACTATTATTTATTTACGTACCTACCATTTTTGGGGACGTATATTCTTTCAACTTCAGTTCTTGTTTTATCTTCCAAAAAATGAAAAAAAAAAAAAACATTCATTGGGTTTGTGATTTCTTGTTGTCCTCCACAATCAATTTAAAATTCCGTGATATCTATTTTGAAATTAATTTAATTTATTTAATATATTAGAAACCTAGAAGTGCAATTGTGGGGAATTACTTAAATGATAATTATTTTAGAAGTTGTTAGGTTTACTTTGTTTTGATTCCAAAAGTTTTTTTTTTTTTGTGATTATTATTATTTTCAACCTATTTTAGTCTAGCAACTTTATGTTGATGTTTAATTTAAGCTTCTTCATATTCCACTAAATTCGTACCAAACGAAAACGAAAACGAAGGTAGATCCTACAAAACCAATAACACTGGACACCGGTGTGGTGCTAACCACACAAGTTCTGATGAGACCTCCCGCTGTGATACCATTTTAAGAATGAATAAACGTGATCAACCCAAAAGCTTAAGTTGGTAAATTGAGGTAAATTTAATTCATATATTAGACATCTAATAATGGAGAAGAAAAAATGGAATAAGATATAAAACATTTAAAATGGGATTGAAAAAATCATCTTGAATCATGTCCTCGCAACACCCTCTCTCAACTAAAAGATGTCGAAGTATGAGGAAAATATTGTTCTATAGTTGTTCAATTTTTTAACAAATGGATAATATAAATTTGAATGTGTGTATTAAATATTAACGTACTAATATTGATATGTATAAGAGCAACCGTTGGTTAAAACAAGTATTGTGTATGAATATGATAAGTGACAAAATAATAGTAAAAACTAAGAAATAAACTTTAAAATATAAAAAATTTGAAAACTCAAAGAATTAAACCGAGATTTAAATTTTAAATATTAAAAAACAGTTCAACAATCGTAAGGGTGAGGATCAAACCATCACATTTTAATTATGCTCCAATTAACCACGTTCACGAATATCACTAGTTTACGTAAATAATTGACACTATAATTTCATTCAACTTTGAAATCCAAACCAATGATTGCTTAGAGAAATTGACAACTTCACTCCACCCACGGATTATTGGCAATTGATGGGATGACTCGTAACGACGGTCCTCGTCATCATTTTGATTCACGTGCTTTATTCACTTGAATTATGTTTCGATCAACGATACTCATCAATATCGCTAGTTTATATAAATAATTGAAAAGTAATTTAATTTCACTTTGAAACCCAAGTAACCTTACTTAGGAAAATTGACAACTTCACTCCACCCACAGATTTTTGGCAATTGACAGAATGACTCATAATGACGATCCCGCCATCGTTTTGATTCACGTGCATTGCACGCACATGTATTTTGGTGTTGTAGTTCAATATGGACCGTTCGATCGTTTGCCCCTCTTAATCCTATTTCTGACAYGTGGATGGTTAGATTTCGACCGACAGCTGTCATAAACATCACCATCTATTTATGTAGCTACCATTTTTTTAATACATTTATGTAGCTACCATTTTAGGTGAGACAGAGTATTTTAATGAAAAAAAGCATGATTGAGAGATAAGCTCCATTTCGATAGGGAAACATCTTGAATCACTAACACATGAGTTGTAGACATTTAAATAAAATCCAATCCACGAAATAATTTGATTTGAGAGATAAAATTTTTCCTGATTTTCCAAATTTTTGAAAAAAATTTAAAATTTTCTTCTCATGAGATAACCTAATCCCTCACCTAAAATTTTACCAAATCTCATGATATTTAAGCTTAATTGTGAGAAAATTTGAAATTCATTGAGTAGGTAAGAGTACAATTAAAAATTGTTAAAATATAATAGATTATATTGAAATCTTTTTTCTTTTTCTTCTTTTTTTTTTTTTAAATAGGGCTAAACCGAAAAACTCTCAACCAATTATTGACTAAATATATATTTAGTCAAACATTTTGAAGATAGGATTTTAGCGTTTGGAGTTGCAAACAAAATTTCATAGACAAGAAAAAAAATTTAAAACCAACTTTAAAATGGTGTAATCTCTTTGAGGTACAATTTGGGAAACATATACAAATTACTATAATTTTAAAAATATATTTGAAACTATAATATCTTCCACTAAAAAAAAGGAAAAAATTCCATTATTTCCCCCACAATACCCTAGTTTGTGAGGGAAATTATTTAATAAAATAACGTGTTTTCCTTCTTTTTCTTTTTAATGAATTAAGTATTTTCCAAATTTCTGAATACATCCATTTTCGATTGAGATATTGTTTTAGAATTAATCTGAACATAGTTAGTAGATAAAAATACTTATTCTAAATTAAGATGGTTCGATCCCTATCTTGTAGGTGTTAACTCAAAAAGAAAAGATAATTATTTTATAACTTTTGTGTTTATTAATTTTTGATTTTCTTAATCTAAGTCTTATATAATTTTAAATAACTATTTAATAAAAAATTAAATATTACGAAAATTACGTTTGTTTTTGCATAATTTCATTAGTATATATTTCAACTCCATTGAAAACATATTTAGATTCTTGAAAAAAGAAAATTTATAGTTTTTTAAAACCACTTTTTTTGGTTTTCAAAAATTGGCCAGATTTTAGAAATATTTATAAAAACTATATCACAAAACAAAAAACACAACTCTGAAAGTCATGTTTCTAAGCATAATTTTTAAAAACAGGAAACAAAAAACGAAATGCATTATGCTGATGAGTGATGATCAATAACAATACTTGAAAACTGAGGTCCATAGACTGCTAAAAAAATCCACAGCTTTTTTATTAGCAGAACAAATTATTTCAACAATGAACAGCTCAACAATGTCCCAGCAACAAGAATTCAGCCTTACAGAATTCAGAAACCGAATGAAAATGAAGAAGAATTGAATCTAAGCTTAAGAAGCTACAAATTCTCTCCCTATATTCAGCTAAATGTTTCGAGTTCAAGAACACGACCGTGACCGATACGATAATCATTAATGGGCTACACGAACAACCTGTTTACCTAAGTTATCTCCAGTGAAAAGTCCTACAAAGGCAGCTGGAGCATTTTCCAGACCTTCCTTCACATCTTCAATGTAGACAACCTTTCCCTGCTTGTAGTAATTACTAACTTGCTCGTAGAAGCGCGGAAATAAGTGCAAGTAGTCGCTTTGTAGGAATCCCTTCATGTTTACTCGTTTTGGTATGAGATTCCACAGGTTGCTGATTCCTTTTGGATTAGAGATGCTGTTCTGAGATATCACTCCACAAACAGCAATCCTACCATGAACTCTCATGTTGCAAAGTGCAGCATCAAGCATGTCCCCACCAACATTGTCAAAATATATATCTATACCTTCAGGAAAGCACCTGAAAATGAGATATATATTTGTCTTGAAATTTTCCCTTTTTCTTAATCGAAATTTTGATGGTGCAAAAGTTATGCCCACGACCCGAAGGTATGGTCGTGGTAGTAAGGGCTTGAGAGATGTTTGGAGGTACCTCCAAAATCTTGGATTATGTCGACAAATATAATGTTAAGGATGGATAAACTACCGATCAACTCAAAAACTTAAGCTGATGGACCGAATAAATTTAATTCAAATATAGATATCTGAACACATAATAATTTAAAATCTTTGTTTAAATACTAATTTGGTCCTTGTACTTTCGACTTTGGTTCATTTTAGTCCCTATACTTTCAAAACGTTCATTTTGATCTTTGTTCTTTTATCTTTAGTTCATTTTAGTCCATGTACTTTCAAAACGTCTGTTATGGTCCCCGTACTTTTAAAAAGTGACCATTTTTGTTAATTTGTTTTCACTTTTTTCAATTGTAATTTTAACATGACACTTCAATCATTACATTTATTGAAATATAGCCATAAATTTGTATTCATTGTACAAAATTTGTGTTAAAGTTTTGCAAAGAACGACAAAATTGGTCACTTTTTAAAAGTACATGAAACAAAATGAAAACGTTTAGAAAGTACGAGAACTATAATGAACAAAAGTAGAAAATACAGAGACAAAGATAAATGTTTTGAAAGTATAGGGACCCAGAGAAGCCAAAGCAAAAAATAGAGGGACCACAATATTATTTAAACTTCAAATCTTTTTTTCTCGGAGCTGACCTTGGAGTGTACAAAGTCTCACTAGGAATTAGTGAGGGTGGACATAAGTATAATGAGAGTGAAGTCCCCAATATTTCAATCATCAAAAGAAAAAGGGCTATGTCCACAAGATAACGATCTCTCTCACAAAGTGCACAAAAGGACAACCAAACTTGAGCTAATTACAAGGAAGAACAATTACAGAAAGAGTTTGAAAGTGATAATTATCAACAAGAACAATGATGTTAGGAAACTTTAATATTTCAGGCCATTCCATTTCCTATCGTGAAGCTGGAAATCATTTCTTTCTAACCCGAATTTTCCAACTGAGCTATCGCGAAAATGAAAGAAAGCATAGTATAGTATTCTGCGTAGATTTTTTGCAAATTTTTCTAATGCCGAGATAACTAACAAGTTTATTCAAAGTTATATTTTCAAGAATTCATTGCTAACCTTTTCAAAGTTGCATTCAAGTCTGACTCTTCTTTGTAGTTGAAAGCTTCGTCAAATCCAAGTTTACCCTTCAGAATATCAACCTATGATGACCATTGTAATTATCAGTGATAGTTATCCCATATTTAAAGGTCTTCCTTCAAGTTCCTCTATCAGAATTCAGAGATATGTTGGAAATAATAGTGAAGTATTAGGAATATTATTAGGATATTAGAAGTGCATAGTAGTCTAGGCTAAGAAATATTTCTAATAGAATGGTTATAAATAGAGTAGGTTAAAGGGTATTTTTTTAAAAATAAAGTAGAATTTAGGATTGGGAGAGAATTGAACCTCTCTAGTATTTAGTACCCGTGTAATTTTCTCGATATTGCAATGTATTGCCGCTCCTAATATTAGTGGGGAACTATTAGGAATGTGATTTGGACATTTAAACGGTATATTATTCATTAGTTCAAATTTGATAGGAACAAGAATGATATAACCAGAACACTAACTGTGATATAAGAACTACAATATCTCCCATTGGACCCCTCCCCTCTCTTGAGTATTCTGACCGAGTCTAAACTATACTAACTTATTGCCTACCTTCATCCTTTTCCTCTCACCCTACTTATAACCAAACTCTCTAACCCAATTACTAATATACCCTTAATACTCTAATAATATCCCCCAACCTATCCTAATAGCAATCCTATCAAAGAACCAGAGCTTGCAAATCAAGAAAAATTGGAGTGGAAATATCTTGCACTATCAAAGAAAATTGTAAGGGTACCAAGCATTCAAGATGCTTAATACCATCCCAAAACCATTTCCCAAAAGCTACAAGACTCCTGCAACCCAACCTTTTTATAACCGCTCCATAAACAAACTCCTTAGCTAATAATTAATATGCTCTTTTAATATCCTGCAGTATTCCTAATATTTCCCTACTCATATTCCTAACAATATATTTTGTCCAACATTCTCGAGATTAAAAGCAATGATACCATATGCTTCACGGGGAATCAAGACATTTACCTTTTCCTTTGTTCCAGCACTTCCTACAACATAACAACCGTGCAACTTAGCAAGTTGGCCAACTAGCTGACCGACAGCTCCAGAAGCAGCAGAGACAAATACTTTTTCGCCTTTCTTAGGGGAGCAAACCTCAAAGAATCCCGCATAAGCAGTAAACCCTGGCATGCCTGTGTAAAAATTTCCATAGTTTCAAGACCAGCTTAAACAGAGTGCAAAGGACAACTATAGTAAGAATAGAGTCATGTCAGAATATCAAGTTTTCCTGTTGAGTCTAACAAAGCTATATTTAGCAACACAGGGTATGCGTTCCGAGCTCTAAATCCAAAATTATATGTTCCAAGATGGCTGATTTTAAGATTTCAAACTTAGTAAGAACATGATTAAATTGTGGCTCATAATGATCATTTTTGTATGTAGAGTCGGTCTAAGAAATTCTAGGTGAAAACAAAAGCACAGAACAAATGTGTATTAGATTAATTCTAGGATTTGAGAACATGCTACCATAACTTTTACATCAGTCAGGTAAAGTAAGAACTTGACAACTGTAAGCAATCTGTAGATATTAATAACTAATGCAGTTTAAACCTGAGGGCAGGGGAGTCATATTGGTATTTTCAATTTCATATTGCCAAGAAAAAAAGAGAACTACATATTTCCAGGTGTGCAAAACTGATTTATACACTGAGGAAGAGAACATACCAAGAAGACCAACATGGAATGAGAGAGGGAGATTGTCCGGCTGAAGTTTTCTCAGCTGAATACTTCTCTTATTCATTAAGCTGTAATCCTCCCAAAATGTGATGCCTGAAACGATGTCACCGGTCTTGAAATTGGCGTCATCAGAGTCCAAAACTTCAGAAACCCCAAAACCTTCAACCACCTTCAATGGATATAACATTAGTAAGGGAACTTTCATCAAAATATAATCCCAAATTACTTGTCATACATACATTATAGGGGCAGTTTCACGTACAGTAATATGACCTAAAATAATAGCAAATCTAGCACAAGCTAAAAAGATTTGCAATTATAGCACAATTCTTAAAAAAACACTCATCAACACATGATCTCAATTCCGCAGATAGACGTGTATCACTAATAGACATTGATAGTTGCCACCTGTTACAATTCCCTACTTTATAAACTATCTCCCAGCAACAAAATCTGGTTGAAAGAGAACGGAAAGGCAAAAAGAAGCTACTCACATAGCCAAACCTAGTGATCAAATAAAAGATTGTGAGGCTAGGGTTTGACAAAGATAAACCTACTCAAGAAAAGTAACAAATAAATTGCTTTGGGAGCTTGTATCCTTGAACATTTTTCTTCCTTTTCATATATCCATGAAAATTTTGTTTCTTGTTAAAAAAAAAAGACTATTTTCTCCTTGTTCAAAGTTCAAAAAGGAGGGAGAGAGCTACCTCTTTAAGTTTGTGGTGACAAAATGCTGATCGTGGTATGTGCTTCAATCTATGTACATGCGATGGTCATGAAAAAAAAAAAGACGAAGGCAAGAGGCGCCTCACCTCTCGCCATAGGCACGCCTTGGCTTGCATCATCACTACATTACATGATGTAAAATTTATCTGAATTACTTTTCATCGTCCTGATGAATACTTACCTATGTATATGGAAGCTTCAAGCGCTTTATGATCATAATATTTTCCATTGAAATGCGAGATTAGAGAAATTAAATCGTTTGAATTTGGCATAACACCTTTACCAATTCGATCAAGTGTAGTGGGTACACAAAATAAACACAATGGGTTAACATAAAACAATGTCCAGCTTACAAATTACTTGTAGTAAGTACTAAACATAAAATTAACAGACACGTGAATGTATCAAATTAATTAGTGTGCTAATAATTAATCATTCATGTACAAGTCTAGATTAATCTTTCTAAGAGAAATCAACTTAAACAAAATGCATTGGAACAAAAAATAGAAGGAACAATTCTCATCCAAATCAGAAGACATCCAGCACCCAAAAGAGAAGAAAAACAAAACCCCAAAAATTTTACCGCATAATCTTGTACATAGAGTGGAAAACAGGAAATTAATTACAGAGTCAGTACCTGACCGGGAACGTAAGGAGGAATGTAAGAATCGTGGAAATCGCGCATCCGTCCTCGCATGTAAGGATCACAAGAAAGGAAGAGATTCTTGACGAGAAAATCTCCGGACCCTTTCGGAGCCTCGAGCTTACGCTTCCCAATTTTGAGTTCGAAGTCCGTCACTTGGGGAACTCCATTGATGTAGCCTTTGAATATCACCTGCTTGTTCTCTACTTCCGCCATGGCCGCGAAACCGAAGGATTTCTTTCTGGAATCAAGTGAGCTCACTAAGACTGTTGAATTCCGGAATTTGGATCGTATTGGAAAATTGAAATTGTCGAAATCTCGTCGTTGTCGTTATAACTTACTAAGTGCGAAATTATGAAGAACAAGTAATCAATGGCCGTTGGACTTTATAACGACTTTTTTTTAATATAAATTTTTGTTTGATCATTAATAAATATATTAACCTTAAATGAAAATCAAATTATTAGGAAGATATAAATTAAAATCTAATCTGCTAGGAAAATCATAAATGAGGGTATTTTGGTAACCAAAAAAATCTTTTTTCAAACTTATAAATCTAAAACTATAAATATTTTTAATAATAGTCCCTATGAAATATTGATGTTGATGTTGATATGGTCCAATATTGGTACTACTTAATATTAATATTTAATTAAATACTCTCTTAAAATATATATATATATATATATATATATAAATATACGTTCAATTA